TATCCTGGCCAATGTCCCCATAGTTAGATTTATCCAAACTGAAGAGACAGTTTCTGAGATGCACCAATACTGGCACAGCTTCCTCTCTCGTTGAGTGTACATGTATGTGCACATGTGCATACAATTTTTATTTCTACCTGGCCCTCTGTCTTCCCTCCCTGTTTCCTCCAAATACCATCCCTCTGAAAGGCATTTCCCTGGCAGAAGCATCCCACCTAGGAGAAGCCCCGGGAAAACAGAGGGCTCCCTGTTATGCAAGTTAAAGTCACAAGAAGAAACGCACATCCGGAAGGTTGTCTAAAATTATAAGGAGCGATGATACCAAGTGTTGATGAGAATGTGGAGCAACTGGAACTCTCATATATTGTGGAGTAGCGTGAGTTGGCACAATCAATTTGGAGAACTGTTTGATCGCTGTATACTAAAGCTAAACCCATGTATATCCAATGACCCAGCAGTTCCACTCAAGACATAAACAAGAACGTCCGTAGCAGCTTTAATTGGAATAGTGAAAAACTGAAAACAATCTAAATATCCATCAATAGGAAAATAGATAATAAATTGTGGTATATTTATACAATGGAATGCTACCCAATGACAAAAAAGAGTGAAGTACTGTTACACACAACAACATGGGTGTCTTGCAGGCATAATGTTAAGAGGAAGAAGCCACACACCAAAGAGTATATATCAATGATTCCATTTATATGAAGTTCAAAACAAGGCAGAACTAATCTGTGGTGATAGAGGTAAGAATGATGGTTTGGGGGAAGGTATTGACTGGAAGGGAAGGCTGTTGAGATGCTGAAAATGTGCTATATCTCGATCTGAGTGGCAGATAATCCTAGGCGTACACACATGTACAAAATCATCAACCCGCATTCCACTTAAGATTAGTGTAGTTTCCTGTATGTGGGTTATACCCTAATAAGAGAGACAAATGAGTAAATGAACAGAGGGGATTCCCTGGAGTTTCCTACGCTATAACCCAAGGAAACAGGGGTTAGGTGGGAAGGGGCCCATCCTCAAGTCTCCACAAACTTCGATGATTCTCATCACCTCTCCTGTGGTAACCCCGCCTCACAGAGTCTCACCCACACAGTCTGGACGCACTCAACATTTTGAACATGTTAGAGACACACTCGGAGCCTCAGAGTTGGTATAAAGATTATTTTAAAGTGGAAACATTTGAGCTAAAGAAAATATGGGAAGAAATATTATCTGAACTTCCCGTAACTGACTAAAGCAAAGCCTTCCAAAAATAAAGCTGCCATTAATCCCCCTCTGAGGGATTTTTTCCAGCTAATTCAGTTGCCATGGAGACAGACTGCCCAAAAGAACCTATAGAACCTTCCATACTTTCCCATGGAAGCCCTAAACTGCCCCTCACCCCCTTGTTAAGTTTGATGTATAAGTCTCAACTCTGGTTATTCAGTGAGTTAGTCATCCTCAGCAACTCCCTGCTATACCTGTAAACAACCTTTGTCTTGTCTTCTGTTCATCTGTCTTTTCTCAGTTAATTTGCAGGCCTCCAATGACTGGACTCAAGTTGAAAGAGGAGAAACTTTTTCCTGCCAACAAACCCCAAACTCCATTGCTGCGGCCCACGGAGCTAGGCCACAGCTCAGAGCTCTAGCAGGTCTCTAACCTTGTATGTCAAGGACACCGAACCAAGTTAAGTCTTCTGTCAGCCCCTTAGCAGGCCAGTGCCCTGGGCTTGACTCGATACCCTGTCCTGAGTCAGATTCATCCTTACAGTATGTACTGGTCTCATTGTCGGGGGAGGGGTTCTAAATACTCTGATGGGAGAGCCGGACCCAAATGGCGCTGGTGAGAACTCCGTCCTTCCAGTTGTTCAGGCTGAGAAGTTTGTAGTTATTCTTGACTTCTCCCTTTCTTTGACATCCCACATCAGTCCGGCAGGAAATCATGTCCGCTCTACTTTCAAAATATATTCAGAATCTGACGACTCCCACGGCCTCCTCTGCTGCCCCTGTGGTCAGAGCCACCCTTACCTCTCGCCTGGACTAGGACAGATGCCTCCTGACTCCAGTTTTGGTCCCATCTTACACAGCTGCCCGAGTGACGCTTCAAAAACCTACCTGAGATCCGGTCACTCCTCTGCTCAAAAATCCCCAGGAGTGGCTCCTACTTCACTCAGTACCAGCCCCCCAACAACTGTTACCCCCCATCACTCTGCTCCCCTGTGCTCCAACTCTGTCTCCTTGCATGGCGCCAGCTGCAAGGGCTCTTTGGTGGTCCTTGAACTTGCTCCTGCCTTAGCCCTCTGGATTCTTCTTGAGCGGTTCCCACCACCCGGAATGCTCTTCCCCAGGTACCCACTTGGCTCACTTTCTCACCAATTTTGAGTCATTGCACAAATCTCGCCATGTTACTTAATGCTGCAACCTGCACCTCCCCCGCCCTCCCCACATTCCAGGTTGCTTTTGTCTGTCTTTTTTTCTTTTTTCCATAGTATTCATCCCTGTATAATTCACTTATTTATTAAGCTTATTGTTTGCCCTCTCTCTTCACTAGGAAGTTAGTTCCACAAGGGCTAGAATCTGTTTTACTCAGTGATGTATCCAAATGCCTGGAACAATGTCTAGAATAGAGTAGGTGCTCCATGTATGTTTCTTAAATTAATACGCCTATGCTCATTCAGGGTAAGAGCTGAGTTTGGCTGAAGAAAAGGTCCAGGAAGGGCTGGCCCGGTGGCGCAGCAGTTAAGTTTGCACGTTGCACTTCAGCGGCAGGGATTTGCCGGTTCGGATCCCAGGTGCGGACACGGCACTGCTTGGCAAGTCATGTTGTGGCAGGCATCCCACGTATAAAGTAGAGGAAGATGGGCATGGATGTTAGCTCAGGGCCAGTCTTCCTCAGCAAAAAGAGGAGGATTGGGAGCAGATGTTAGTTCAGGGCTAATCTTCCTCCAAAAATAAATAAATAAATAAAAAATAAATAAATAATTTGAAAAAAAAAAAAGGTCCAGGAACTTTCTGGGTAAGATTTATTACTGCCCCAGGGCTAACAGTCATGTGCCCAGGCTTGGAAAGTCCCCCAAGATATAGAGGAAGACGGACAAGACAAAATTCAGCAAACCCAGGGAAGTATTCAGCCAGGCTTCTGTCCCAGCGGGTTCCTGGTCAGATCCCATCATAGGCAACTGGGCTGGAGCTGAGCTGTTGATCACTGAAGTGGTGAAAGAAAGAGGAAATGGAGGGGGGGAGTCCGTGCTGGGGGTGGAAGGCACCTGGAATACCTCAGTCTGTAGATAAAGCCACTGGCTGCTGGAATGAGGAAGTCTCTCTCCCAGCCCGGGTGGGGCAGAGCCCTGGCCCAGGAGGGGAGGGAGGTGGCAGAAAGGAGCTGCATTCTTGCTGGATTTCTCCTCCGTCTTCTCTAGAGGGAAGCTTCCTGCTAGATCACAGGCTACCAGACAGGGCTTGAACAGAATCCAGGTCACTGCTGTGGTCTGGCCTGCTTTCCCCACCTGAAACCCACCTTGGGGAATCCATCCTCCGTTTATGAAGTCAACGGCTGAGGTTGAATGGAGGGTGGAAGGACTCAGCCTGCCAGGAGTACTCTACAGATTAATAGTGTAGTTGAAACTGGGGTCCAAGATCCCGAACCTCAAGTGCTGGGTTGCGTCTCCAATGGTTGCCCCTCAGCCTCTCGTAGGATCTTCTTCTCCCTACACCCTGGAATGGCTCCCTCCTCCTTCCAGGCAGCAGAGGTCTTTATCCAACGCAGGGCGAAGTTCCAGAAGACAGTGTCTCACACCCGAAGCAGAACTTCAGACTGCATGGCCAAGAGGACCAACAAGGAGCCCTTGTTGACAGAGGCCCAGAGAAGGCAAATAACTTGTCCAAGATCACACAGCTCCTGATCCACCATTAGGAAGGAGCTGGAAACAGAACTTAGACTTTCTGATTCCACTTTAAAGTTCCTTCCAGCTGTGAGATTTTGATTTCTTGATGCCGATCCAGCAAGCTTTCCTCTACCCAGAGCTGATTTCATCACAAAACTCTTGCCCTGAAATCCCCCAGGTACCTTGTTTGGCCACTAGGCTGTGGCCATAACAGCTCCTCACCTTGGCCCCTTGAAGGGGTACGAGTCTTCTCTAGGGCATTTGGAAATGCGTTCTGCAGCCTGGTTCTCCTTCCTGTGGTCAAATCCCCTAAGCTTCTCTAAGCCTTCACCCTCACACTTTCCCCCTTCCAGGCCCTGTGACTCAGACCAGCACTCTTACTCCTTCCTTTCTCCCAGCCAGTGCCTTCCCCAACCCGCACCTCCAGTCTGGCCAGGGCCAGGGTCCTGGCTCTGACTGGCAGAGAGAACCACTGGATGTGAAGATGGAGGGATGTTAGGGATCAGACTCCTGCCCCACACTGGAGAGCTGTCTCCTCCAGACCTCAGGAGGCCGTCCCTTCTCTCTATTGCTTGAGGATCAGGGTGGATGTCAGGGCTCTCACTCACTGAGCACTTACAAGGTATATGCTTTTGATGAGCACTGAGCATGTATCAGGCACTGTGTAAGAGCTTTACTATCTCATGTAATCCCCACAAAACAACCCAGGGAGGTAGGGATTATGCCCATTTTACAGTTGAGGTTCAGAAAGTTCTTTAATTTGCCCTAGATCATAGAAGAAATAAAGTCTAGGATTAGGAATGAAACCCAGGTCTATCTAACTAAAAGCGTAAGCCCCCCACACAAGGGGATGGGGTTGGGGAAGGGGAGATGTGTGAGAAACACCATCTTCCATGGCCTCCCGGGCTGCGGCCCCAGGGAGGTGAACATCACCGTAGAAATGATTCCATATCTTCAAATCAAACTTCAGAGTGGAGAGGTCACGGAGGTCACTGGGCAATGGGGACGGGTGATTAGCTCGCTGACAGCCCTTGACTCGAAACCTGCCAGCTCTCTCAGCCTGTGCCTCCGTGATCACCTGGCTGCGTCCTGGAAACTACCCAGTCATACCAGGCAGGTGGCTCGCCCCTCCTCCCGGGGTTGAGGAAGCAGGAAAAGGTGGCAGTGAGAGGCAGTGGGCAGTTCTGCTGGGCTATGGTGGCCGGATCCCCAGCTAGGATGGGCTCTCTCTGGGGCCTGCTGCTGCCCCTTTTCTTCTTCTGCTGGGAGGCCGGGGCCCCCAGGAGCTCTGCAGGTATGGAGGTGAGAGGGGGCCTGTGGGCTTCTCTCCTGATAGGGCTCTGGGGCTGAGTTTCTGTTCTGGCAGCCCTTTGTGGGTGAGGGTAGCTCTCTTGGGTTAATTATAATTAACCTTAAGGCTATATATGAAATATTACTATAGCTGATAAAGAGCGTGCAAATGGCAGTGTGTCAGCTTAGGTAATTAACGACACTGCGGTCCGGTCTGTACAAATGAGCGACGTCATTGTGAGGTCGCTGTGGGTGTGTCTTTACGCCTGTGGGAGTATGTGTAAGCGGGGTGGGGAGGGTAGGGGGCGAGGGAGGGGTGGGCTGGTAATAAATCTGACTAAAGCCCAAGAATGTGGCTTGACAAGATTCTAACTCCTCCAAGTTTACTTTCCAGCGCAGATTTCCTTTAAAGAACAGTTTTTGCGTGAAAAGTCTGACTATCACAGACGGCTTGGGGAGGTGGATTCTGAGAGAGGGGGGGCTTTCATGGAAGAAGAGAACTAACACTGATCTGTAACAGGAACTGTGCCAACCTTGTCAAATGCCTTATCTTTTTTTAAATCGACTTTATTTTTTAGAGCCATTTAGGTTCACAGCAAAATTGAGTGGAAAGTAGAGTTCCCATATACCCTTATGCACTATCTTTTTAATCCTCAAAATAACCCTATGAGAGAGATACGATTCTTATTCTTACCCCACTCCCGCATCCTCCCTTAAACGTGAGGAGACTGAGGTTTACCAGGATTCAGTAGCCTGTCTGCAGAGCCAGGGTTTCATTCCAGGCATCCGTAACCATTGGACCACACCGCCTCCTGCAGGTTCTCACGATCTATCACGCTTGTGCTGCACATTTTACGTTTAATTTAATTTAATCTTCACAACCCTATGAGATGGAAACCTCTACCTCCATTTCACAGATGAGAAAATGCAGCCTTGGACCCGGGAGGCCTGGCCAGGGTCACATGGTTGGGAAGAGGCAGAGCAAGCAGCAGAGAGGGGACCCAAACTCAGGTCCAAAGTGCACAGGCTTTCTTCTCCACCTGTTTGATGTGAGGAATGGGCCAGGAGAGCTGCAACATTCTGGAGCCGTGAGGGCCCGGCAGGCTTTGCTCTGTGGGAGAAGCCCCCTGGTGTGTAAGAGACTTGGGTGGGGGTTGTGAGAGCCCCAGGGATGAAGAGACTATGGTTTGGGAAGCATCAGGGGCTCTCACAGCAGGATGACACCACGGGGCTCCCAGAAAAAGAAGAAAATGTGTTAGGGGTGGTCCGTGGTCAGACCCCAAGAGCACCACTGTTTGGGCCTCAGGCTGTGTGGGCTGACGCAGAAAGACTGCTTCTGCTGTGTGGGCACCAAGGAGGCTCAGAGAAATGCCTCGGGCTTTGAAGTGGGGAGAAGAAAATATATTCCTGTAAAAGCGTCATTTGCGTGCAGTTAGATTGCACTGGACAGGAAATGTGAGCGAATGCCGTGACCCACTTAATATGCATGTGCGTGCAGTCTGAAATTCTCACTATAGTAAAATTAGGTTGTCGCTCTCGAGTGACTCCATGAGAGGACATGGTCAGGGAGGGGTGCTTCATAACCCCTTGCAGGCTTTGGAATATGAGGGCTTTCCCACTCCCCTCTCCTCTGGTCCTCACCACCACGGCAAGGCAGGCATCGTGACCCTTTTCACAGGGGAGGAAATGGAGGCTGGAAGAGGTCCAGTGAGTGGCTGAGCTGGTAGGAGGCAGAGTCGGGATGTGAACCAGTAAATCATCAGACTCTAGAGCTCGTAGGCAACAGACCCGGGGCTGGAACCCTGTCTCTTGCTTCCTGGCCCAGTGCTCTTTCATCCTTCAGTGGGAGACACAGGAAGACAAGCTGAGGACCTGGGGCCCCGTCCTGACACCCTAGATAGAGGTGACCAAACGGTCTTGGCCCTCCTTTGGGTCCTTGGGTACTTTTCGGCCAGTAGATCTCAGTAAAGACCATTTTGAATCACCAGAATGCCAGAGAAGGGGGCTTTTATTTTGATCCTTTTCCTTCCAAAAGTAGGGTTACTAGATAAAATACAGGGCATCCACTTAAATTTAAATTTCAAGTAATGAAGTTTTTTTAGTATGTCTCAAATATCACATGAGAAATACACATACTAAAAAAATTATTTTTTGTTAAAGTTATTCCTTATTTATCTGAAATTTAATTCAAAATTAACTGGTCATCCTGTTAATTATCCTTTTTCTATTTGCAAGATCTGGCAACCCTCCCCAAGAGGCTCCTTGGCCCACTTACAGAGAGAGCCTGGCCCCCTTGGTAGACAGGGGAGGCTCCCTTGCCAGCCCACAAAAGACCCCATTGTAGCCTCCCTCAGGGTGGTGAGCGCCCGCTGGCCCTCCATTCCCACAATGTCAGGGGTCGGTCAAGTGAACAGAGACCCTCTGCCCTATGGAGAAATGCCAGGAGCATCTTTCTAAAAAAAGTGAAGTTTTGCCTCACCTGGCTCCCTGTTACCTATGGAAAATGCTTGGTACGTCGTTTCCACAGTTCAGGCGTTCTGTCGTCTTAGGCCTATGTTCAGGAGAGGCTGGGGCGGGGCTGGGAAACTTGCCCCTTTTCCCTTGCTAGAGCCCCAAGGCCCCCGCCTGCTCCCCTCCCTCCTGGAGCCACCACCACCCACACTGCCTCTGGAGGGTCTTCTCCGCCAGTCCTCTCAGCTGCCTCTGAGCACAAAACCACAGATGTTTCTTGTATTCGAAAAGTTTTTTACTTCCATGGGGAAACATTTGCTGGATGAGAAAAGTATCCAAGGGAAAGTGACAAGGATTCTTTCAGAAAGTTCTGAGAGTCGTGGTCCCTGCCCTGCAGTTCTTGGCTCATTTGGACTTCTGACTTCTTTGCTCCCCCTTGAAGCTGGATCCTGGCCCCACACATCCCCTTTGACGGCTTCAGACCAATAACCAACTAGATTCTGGGGCTTGCTTGCCTTAAGTGGGCCATCAGAGGACATCAGTCAGCGTGGTCCCAGTTACGTGGCTGCCGCACAGGACTTCCCGATACTGCCTCCTTCTTCCTTGTATATATAGATGAAAAATAGGTCAAAGCAACTCCCTCTCCCCACCCTCCTCCTAGCTGTGCCCAGGCCATAAACACAAGAGCTTGTGTGAAGTCAGTCCACTGGGACGCATGGCTCACAAAGATGGTTTTACCCAACACAGGCCCCAGCACCAGTGGACCAGGCCCTTTGGTGACAACGAGCCACACAGAAGTGCCTGCTGTGACTCCAGGAGTCAGAACAAGCTCAGAGGGAGCCTTCCAGACCACTGACCTTGCTGAGACCTCTGTGCCAAGCCACATCCCTCTGGAAAGTCATCAAACCCTGAGGACCCAGACCTCTCACAGTACCTTAATCCCAGGCAGCACCATTCCAGAAGCAGAGACCACGGAAACCAGGACCATTAGTCTTGCAGCAGAGACCAGGGCCCTCACAAAAAGAACACCTTCCAAATTCATGGTCGTGATGACCCCTCCTATGGAGACAACAGCCACAAGCGACAACCCCACGAGAACTGGAATGACCACAGTGCAGATTGTTACAGGCAGTGATCTCTTGGAAGCGGCCTTTGACACCCTTTGTACTGATGACAGCTCTGAAGAGGCAAAGAGGATCAGAACTAGTGCCTTGACATTGGCTCAGATCCTCACAGAAGCCAAGGCCCTTACGTTGGAGAGCAGCACCTCCTCTGACAGCTCAGTTCCAGCCATCACCACCTCACAAGTCCTGGCACCTCATGTCACTGCTCCGGCGAAAGCCTTGGTTGCCTCCACCATCTCTGACATTGAGGTTACCAATGGCAGCGTTATGGAAACGGAAACAACTGCCAGCATCCCTAAGACCTCAGACACAGCTTACAGCCCCGCAGGAGGAAAGGCCCTGTCCACTCCCGAGGTGTCAGCTTTGCCCAACCCCACTGAAGCGAAATCACACCTCACCGAGACCACGACCTCGGCGGAGGCCTCGTCTACCGCCAGCACCGCAGAATCGGCCACACATGACACCACAGTTGAGACCCCACTCCCTGCTACTAGCACCACAGAAAGAGAAACAACAGCAGCTGAGGCCACCACCCCTAGTGGAACTTGGGCGACTGTCAGCGTGAACCCTGTGGAAGAAGTCTCAGCCCTCTCTGCTGAGACGACAAGCCACACTGAGGTCCCAGGAGCATTTACAGTCTCCACAGAGGCTGGGTCAACAGTGGGCAAAGGGACTTCCCTTGCTACGGTCTACAGCCTCTCCGAAGGAATTACCATCAAGAGCTCCACCCGCTCAGAGACTTCCACCACAGACAGCAGGACCAACGGGCCCATCCCCGACTGCACGAGGCCTCTTCCTTCTGTCCATCCGACTACAGCCGACAGCAGCCAAGAAGAAAACACCACCTTAGCCAAGACCACAGCCTCAGCGAAGACCTTGAAGACAGCCAGCACAACCAGAGGGCAGCCCCCAAAAGCCGTGCCCACTACTGCTCAGACAAGGGGGACCACAGAAGTTCCTGCAAGTAAGTGGCTCCCCCATGTGTGATCTTTGGGGTTTGGGGTTTGGAGTCTCCAAGATGTCAACATGCTTAAGGAGCAGAAAGGAAAGAAGGGTCTGTGTGACTATTCTGAGCCCTGTCTCTGATGTCGCCTCTTCATGATCTTCTAGTGGTTCTTCCCAAAACGAGTAACAAGCAGAGTGAGGGTGGTGTATGGAGAGAGTGTGGGGCTGCAAGTTTGGAGAAATAGTTTGAGATCTTGGCTCTGCCCGCAACAACCTGAGTGACCTAGGACAGGTCCCTTTCCCTCTCTGGGCCTCAGTTTCTCCACCAGTAGCTGGAGGGGGTGCAGTGGACAGTAATGAGGTCCCTCCCAGCTCTGCCCTTCTATGAAGTTAACTGTTGAGTAACTACTGTGCACCAGGCAAGGCCCCTAGTTTTGTTTAAAAGACACAGCCCTCGTGCTCTGGAAGCCTCTGTTTCAGCCAGAGCCACACAGAGGGGCACCATGTGGGCGTCTGGCCCAAGTTGCTGCCTTCTGAGCAGCTAGGACCCCATGAAAGGGCGGCTCACTGGATGTCCTTGCTGGGTTTGGTGCCATAGAGGGTGACTGAAAATAAATAAGCAACCTGGGCGAAGGTTTGGGACTTTAAAGCTGCGTCTCTGAGACAACAGATGGTTCTCGGGGAAGAAGTCCCCTGTCAGAGGCTGCTTGGTCAGCCCAGCTCCTGGTCAGCCTGTAACCTCCGTCCCCGCTTCCATCGCTCTGTCCTTGTACCTCATCCCTGCCATAGCCGCAGTTTGCCCTGCCTTTCTGGGGAAGTGAAATAAAAATATTAATCACTACCACCTTACCGAGTATCTTTTGTATTCCAGGCAGAGGGGATATAAAAATATTTCACAACCAGGAAGCACTGGCACCAGCTGAATGTTCTCTCTGATGCCAGGCAGTGTCCTATGAATCTAGCATGTGATATCTCCTCTGATTAAATCTTCCAAACCACCTTATGAGGTGGCTGTTATCACCCATCTGACAGCTGAGGAAGCAGATTTAAAGATGGTAAAAGACTGCTGTGGGATCCCAAATGAAGGTCTGATTCCAAAACTTATAGTCTCCTATTGTGCTTTTATTTTTAAAAGTTCAATTATTAATATATTTTTATTTTAAAATGCTTTTCTTTATTATTTGTTGATTAGGTGATACACTGACATGATTTAAAATTCAATAGGTAAAAAGGGTACCCCATACAAGGCCTTCCTCCCACTGCGGTCCCCCAACTACCCAGTTTCCTCACGCACATAACCGATGGTATCACTTTCTTGTGAATCGTCTTCTGGACGTGAAATGTGCATTTGGAAGCATAAAAAGGAGGATGGTAGATATAGGTATAGATAGATGTCTTTCCTCCTTTTTACACAGGTGGAGCATACGATAAACACAGATCTCTGAGATGAAGCCACTCTTTTTTATGGCTGCTCAGTATTCCATTTTGTTTTACCTTAATTAATTTTTTTATTTGAGGAAGATTAGCCCTGAGCTAACATCTGCTGCCAATCCTCCTCTTTTTGCTGAGGAAGACTGGCCCTGAGCTAATATCCGTGCCCATCTTCCTCTACTTTATATGTGGGATGCCTGCCACAGCATGGCGTGCCAAGTGGTCCATGCCCACACCCGGGATCTGAACTGGTGAACCCCAGGTCGCTGAAGCAGAACCTGCGCACTTAACCGCTGTGCCACCAGGCCGGCTCCTACCTTAATTAATTTAACCAGCCCTCTATGGATGGACATTTAGGTTGTTTTCAGTATTTTGTTATGACAAACAGTGTTGCATAAATAGTACATTTTTCACATGTGTGTTATTTTCTGGATCAATTCTACTGATGTTCTAATAGGAAGAAATGACTCCAAGGTGGCAGGTAAAGGCAGGCCAATTAGAGCTCAACAAAACGGAGAACTCGCCTACAGAGCTGCTAAGTCAGGATGGCTTCCAACTTAGAACTGGAAGAATTGGCTGAGGGCATCCCTCAGAAAGCCAGCCTCTCTCCATCATTCTCCCCAGCTGGGCCCTTTCCCAACAGCCCTATCCAGGACCTCCAGGCCTTGAGAACGTTCTAGATCCACTTTCATTTCTCCTTCCTCACACTAGACTTTTGGCTTCTCTGAATGTGAATGGAGCCTTTAACCATCATTTCCCTCACTCTTGTTGGGAAGACACTACACTGGGCCCGATTATTGGAGAGGGAATCCAGCGAATCCTCCTTCTCTTTGCAGTAAGTGTGAGATCCCACATGAACACAGACACGTTTACACATGAGAGCGAGCACGTATATACAGAGGGGGGCTGGGGGCTGGGTAGCAGAGTCACGTCTTGCTTCCTGAACTGACTTACCCATATTTTCATCTTCCTACTGTTCTTAACTTGCAGGTGGGGATGGAGGCTTCCTCCTCCTGCGGCTAAGCGTGGCCTCCCCGGAAGACCTCACTGAGCCCAGAGTGGCAGAGAGGCTGATGCAGCAGGTGAGTGGGCGCTTCCTGGGCCAGGGGAGTGGAGGAGAGTGAGAGGTTCCTGGAGACCCCAGGGAAGATCTGCAGGAAGAAGAGGAGCAGCTGCTGCGCTTGGGCGGGGTCTAGTTTCTCTCTGGGTGTTAGGAGCTAAATCTAAGGAGCCCCGCCTGACGTTTCCTGAGTTCTGAATTTGCCTTCTCTGCTTTGTAAAAAATTCTTCCCCTCATTCCCAAGGTCCTCAGGCCCTAGGAAGTTCAGGCCTTCTGGTCCCTGGGAGAAGGTCAATGATATTAATGGGCAGATAGGCAGGATTTTTGGTTGCAAATGGCAGAAATCAACTCAATGTAGCTTACACAGAAAAAGCAAGATATTGGCTGAGAAACCTAGAAGTGGCTGTTCCAACTTCAGTTGTGGCTGGATCCAGCAGCTCAACCATGATCATCAGGATTTTCTCTTTCTCTCCCTCCCTCAGCTCCACTCCCTTCGTTCTTCAGAGTCTCTCTCCATATGTAAGGAAAGATGGCTGTGACAACCCTAGATTCGCAAAGCACTGCCCTCTCCCAAGATCTGCATATCAAACTAGGGAAAGACTGATCTCACCGGCCTGTAGGGGCCCCCATGACTGACAGCCTGACCTGACCCACATGGAATGGGAAGGACAGGCCCCAAAGGAAATAGGGATGTTAGGCAGAAAAATCCCATGGGTGTACGCTCTAGATGGGGACCAAAATTGGGATGTATTTGTACAACAGGTTGGGAAAATTCTCCTAAAACCCAGATCACCGGACACAGCTTCCAGTGGTGAAATTCAGGAATCAGGGCTTTGGGGGATGGTGTGAACCAATGGAAGGTTAGAATAAGTCAGCTCAGCCTAGCTCCTGTGCCCACATCTTGCTGCCAGGGGTGAGAAAACAGAAGATCTGGGCTCTTGAAGTTCTCTTAGTGGAAGGGGGGTCCACTGGGACTCCCATAATAAGGAGTTCTCTGAACACAGCATAGGGGTTTTGAAGTAGGACAGCCAAATATAGGACAAATACCCACTGCACATGATGACTAAAGTAGCAAGTGTGAATCCTAACCTAAGAGAGAAGCCAGGCTTGTGTCAGATCCGAGCCCCCCCAACTGGAAGCTATTTCAGGGGTCAGAAAGAAGCCAGGGAGATAGAAGCGGGTCAGGAGCTGAGGTGCAGAAACCAGGCCATGTGGGTGCCGGGCATCAGTTCTTCTTGGGCGCTGGCCACTGGCGTAGGGCTCAGGGGTCAGAGAAACAATAAGCTTTGGAGCCAGATAGATCTGGGTGTGAAGTCCAGTTCCTAACTGTATGACCTTGGGTAAGTGACTCCATAGCACTTTCCTCCCTTATAAAGTGAGGCTAATACTACCTGCTTTATAGGGTTACTGTGCGGTAATTCTACGACATAATGTGCATGAAGCACCCAGGCCTTGCCCAGCCCCCAGGAGGCTCAGGAAGTGCTGCTGGCCTCCTCATTCCTTCTCTCCTATGGTCCTTTCCTGTCCTTGGCCTGTGGTGAGCTCATGGGCCAGATGCGCTGGAGGTACCACCTGTTCCTTTTGCCCTCCAGCTCCTCCATGAACTGCACATCCACATGCCACGCAGCCAAGTCTCCCTGCTGCGCATCAGGAGGGGCTGAAGAAGACCAGCTGCAGCCAGGCGTGCCCACGTGCCAAAGGGGGGACCTAGGGCCTAGGCCCCACCGCAGGCTGGAGCCACGTTACTGTGCCGAGATGCACCTGGAAGGTTCCCACAGAGGTCAACTGACCTAAGCTCTTACCCCAGACCTGGCAGCCGGACCCTGGCTCACATAGGCCTGAGTGCATGTGGGTGGGGAGGGGGCCTTCCCAGTTCCAGAGGTGTCCTTGGACTTCCCACAGCACACGTGTTGTGTTTAAGTAAAGAGTGACCTGATCACCTACCTGTCACTTGCTGCATGCTTCCATCCGACGTTAAAATCACATTCAGTGTGGCCTGGAGGTTATCTATTTCACCTGTACATTTCTTGACATTTTATGACACAAGGATTTTGTGCATCCTCACTGCTACCTCCCTCCTTCGTGCTCCCTGGCTCTTGGTTTGCACCTTGATGACAGCGCTGACTGAGGCTGGCCTGGAGCCTGCTGAACTGTGAGCTCCTTCAGATCAGGGACCCTATTTGTATCTCGGTGTCCCTTGAATGCAGGAGGGTGCCTGGCCTGTAGTAAGATCACAGAGAATGTTTGCTGAGTTGACTTGCGTTTCAAATTCTGGATGCAAGCAGATTTAAAAGAAGATCTGTAATACTCAATTATTCCTCCCCCGTAGCTCAAACTCATGTTATTATTTTTTTTAAATTAAAAGTGGCATATTTTTTTCTATTGTAAAAGTAAAACTTGCCCGAGATTTTAAAATTCTGAAAAATTCAAAAGGACCAAGAAAAAAAAAAAGAAATAGGAAGAGGAGGGGAAGAGAAAGAAAAAAAATTTCTAATATCCCACCTCTGAAATACAGCCATTGTTAATGTATATATTCAGCCTCTCCACTTGGTCTAAGAGATACCCCATATTCAACATTTCCAAAATCAAAGCTCTAATCTTTTCCCCTAAACCTGCTCTGCCTGCATCTTCCTCATCTCAGTTAATGCCAGTTGCATCCTTCAGTTGCTCAAGCCAAAATCCTGGGAACCCTCTCTGTTTCTCTGTTTCTTTTACATTTTACATCCAGTTCATCAGGAAACTCTGTCGGCTCTACTGTAGTCAAAATATGCCCAGAATCCGACCCATCCTCACCATCTCCGCTGCTCTCACCTGGTCCAGGCTGCCATCGTCTCTCACCTGGAGTACTAATATCCTCCTAACAGTCTCCCTGTTTCTAACTTTGCCCTCCAGCCCTAGTCTAGTCCCAGCACATCAGCCAGAGCTGTCTTTTTATAGGGTCACACAGACCATGCCACTCCTTTGCTCCAAACTCTCCCCTTTCATTCAGAGAAAAAGCAAAGTTCCTACAACGGCCTGCAAAGCTGTACACGATCGGCAGCCCTCCACCAGCCTCTTGAACTTGCTCCCTGCCCTCCAGCCACGCTGACTTCCTTGCCATTCCTTGGATGCATGCTCCCGCCTCGGGACCTCTGCATGCGTTGCTCAGTTTAGAATGCTTCTCCTCCAGGTAGCCACTTGGCTAACTCCACATCCTTCACCTTCTCAGGGGGTCTACCTGACCACCTCCTCTGCTTTGACTTTCTTCATAACACTGATCACAGCCTAACGGAACACATATTTTTTGCATTTGTCTTGTTTATTATCTGTCTCCCTCAACTAGCATGAGTTTGCTCACTGCAGTCTCCCTAGCGTCTGGGACAGTGCCTCGCACATATAAGGTGCTCAGTAAATACTGGTTAAATGAAGGAAGGAAATAACAAGACAAGATGGATATTGCTCTGAAGGAGGGGAGAATGGCCCCCTTCCTCTTGCAGAGTAGGGCAGAATGAGTTCCCTCAAGTAGGTTGGGCAAAAACAGTTCAAACCTTCATCCCAGCATGTTTGTTGAGCGCCTACAATGGAAGAGAAGCTATGCGGTGTGCCGTGGGGGACTCAAAGATGTCTCTTCTCAAGGGGATTACAGTTAGTAGGGGAGGTTAGACAGGTACAGAAATAACCTGAAAGAACTTATTTACACCATATACTGCAAACCAGAATGTCCTCAACATACAAAGAAAGAAAAGGGCAAAAATACCAGTAGAAAAGGGAACAAATGGCAAGAACAGATGATTTACAAAAGAAGGAATATAAATGCCTCTTTTCCACAAAAAAGAAATGTTGACTTCACTAGCAAAAAACGGTACAATGTGGTATCGCCTATAGTGTGTCAATAGGTAAAGATTTATAAAAATTATAATATCTATATTGCTGTGGGTGTGGGGAAAAGCACTCAAACACTGCTAGTGTGAATGAAATTGGTACAACCTTCTGGAGGACAATCTGATTATTTATCTAAAGCCTTAAACATGTGCATTCCTTTAAGCCAGCAATTTCATTCCTAAGAGTTTATCTTAAGGAAATAATCAAGAATCTGTGCAAAGATCAACAAATAAATATGTTCCTTACAGAACTGTTTATAATAACCAGTAAAAGAAAAAGACAAAACAAAACACAAAAAAGATAGCCTAAGGGAGCCATTTGGTTAATAATAATGCTATTTTATACAATCTTTAGAAGCGTCGTTGGGAAGTATATTTATTAACATGGAAAGAAGTTCGTGAAATATTATTCTGTTCTCTTTTATTTTCCTAAGATGGAACCTTCTTTTCTTTTCTTTCTCCAAACTACTCTTCACGCTGTCTCCAGAGCTTTCCTCTCCAAAATCACAGCTGGTCCTGTGCCTACCTACAGGATGAAACCTCCAGCTTTGTGAATGAGGGTCTTTGTGATACGGCCTTGGCCAATTTTATCAGCTCTGTGTCCTATGGCCCCATTTCCTGTGTCGTATGTTCCTTCCACAGGGAACTTCTCACTACTTCCCAGTCACACTTGCTTTGATCCAGAGTGTTTGCACATCACAATTCCCAGCCCTGGAATGTTCTCCCTCCTTCTGGTCCCTTTGTCTGGAAAACTCCTATTCATGCTTAAAAGCCTACTTCATTTAGCACCTCCTCATGGTGGTTTTCCTCAAATTCCCTAAAGAGGAGCTAGTTTCTTAGTCTCTTTATGTTTCTGTTATATCACTTAACATGCTCTATCATGATTTATTTATTTACAAGTTTGTTAAGTCATATGTGCTTTAGAACAAGCACCATGCAGTATTCACCTCTGTTGCCATAGAACCTAGCACAGCCCTACACATGAAGGGCACTCAAATGTTTGCTGAATGATCAAGAGGATGGCCACATGAGCAGATGACCGTGAAATATGGGCACCGGGCTCTGAAAGTTAGGAAAATAACATTCACTGTTGAAGTCAAATGAAGTTAAAATTTAATGATATAATTATTATTAAGCTGCACTATAATTAAGCATGAATGGAGAGCAGTTTGCATAAATGACTATAACACCACTGTTATATAAATCAAATTCTCAAATAGTTTTTCTTTTCTTGCTTTGCCCTTATTCAAATCGGTGATACCTAGAAAAGTAGATAATTTAATCTTAATTACATACATACAAGGACATACAATGCTGATTACTATTATTAAAAAAGAAACAAATGAAAATAAATAAATAAATAAAATGGAGTCAAGGGGCCAGAAGAGAGAACTCTCATGCACTTGACACTCAACACACACTGTAGAACCCAACAAGAAGAGAGGTACCTCGCACCTCCCACAGGAAGTGATACTACTTACACCCCAGCAGAAGGAAGGAAGGAATTCCTCCTCACCCAGTGACAGCTCAGCCAATGAGAGACTTCCGTAACTCAGCCAATGAAAAGCCACCACACTTTCCCCAGTCTCCTCCAACAGACTTCCTTTACAACAGCCCCTCCCAGCTATATAAAAGAACCTTTCTCTCCTTTCTTTCTCTGGACTCGCCTGTGATTCACCATAGACCATATGTCCTGAATTGTAATGGTTTGGTGTTCCTGAATAAACCCATTCTGCTGGTAAAATAACTGGCTGTTTATTTGTTTGAGATCAACAGTGCTTAATTCTTTTTACTTAATTTTTATTCTTTTTAAAATTAACAAATGTTATTTTTTTAGTAGTTTTACGTTCACAGCAAAATTGAACCAAAAGTACAGAGTTTCCATATCCCCTCCCTCACACAGACTTAAAACCTCCCCCACTATTAACATCCCCCACCAAAGAGCATTTGTCAAAAATGAGGAGCCTACGTTGACACGACATTATCACCAAAGTCCGGAGTTCACATTAGGGTTCACTCTTGGTGGTGGACGTTCTATGGGTTTTGACAAATGTATAATAATATGCATCCACCATTGTAGTACCCTATAGGGTATTTTCACTGCCCTAAAAATGCTCTGTGCTCTTTCTATTCCCCCTTCCCTCCCCTCTAATCCCTGGCAACTACTGATCTTTTTACTGTTTCCATAATTTTGTTTTTTCCATTATGTCATACTTGGAATCATAAGATACGTAGCCTTTTCAGATTGGCTTCTTTCACGTAATAATATGCATTTAAGTTTCCTTTGTGTCTTTTCATGGCTTGATAGCTCGTAGCTTTTTAGTACTGAGCAATACATCTCTGGATGTACCATAGTTTATTTATCTGCTCATCTACTGAAAGACATCTTGTTTACTTCCAAGTTTTGGAAATTATGAATAAAGCTACTATAAACATACATGTGCAGGTTTCTGTGTGGACGTGTTTTCTACCCCTTTGGGTAAATACCAAAAAGTACAATTGCTGGATCATATGTTAAGAGTATGTTTAATTTTGTAAGAAACTGCCAAAATGTCTTCCAAAGTGCTGTACCATTTCTCATTCCCAGCAGCGATGAATGAGAGTTCTTGCTGCTCCACATCCTCACCAGCCTTTGGTACTGTCAGTGCTCTGGATTTTGGCCATTCTACTAGGTGTGTAGAGGTATTTCTTTGTTGTTTTAGTTTGCAATTCCCTAATGACATATGACGTTGAACACCTTTTCATATGCTTACTTACCGTCTATATATCTTACTTGGTGAGGTCTATGTTCAGGTCTTTTGTGCTTTTTTGTTTCTTTCTTTTTTGGTGAGGAAGATTGATCCTGAGCTAACATCTGTTGCCAATCTTCCTCTTTTTGCTTAAGGAAGATTGTTGCTGAGCTAACATCTGTGCCAATCTTCCTCTGTTTTGTATGTGGGATGCTGCCATAGCACGGCTTGTTGAGCAGTGTGTAGATCCATGCCCAGGATCTGAACCCGTGAACCCCGGGCTGCTGAAGTGGAGCACACAAACTTAACCACTAAGCCATGAGGCCAGCCACTTTTGCTTATTTTTTTTTTTTAAGATTTTCTTTTTTCTTTTTCTCCCCAAAGCCCACCAGTACGTAGTTGTGTATTTTTAGTTGTGGGTCCTTCTAGTTGTCGCATGTGGGGTGCTGCCTCAGCATGGTGTGATGAGCGGTGCCATGTCCGTGCCCAGGATTTGAACTGGCAAAACCCTGGGCCACCAAAGCAGAGCACGGGAACTTAACCACTCAGCCACGGGGCCGGCCCTCCACTTTTGCTTATTTTTTAATCAGCTTGTTCATTTTCTTATTATTGAGTTTTAAGAGTCCTTTCTATATTTTGAATAACAGCCCTCTATCAGGTGTGTCTTCTGCAAATATTTTCTCCCAGTCTGTGGCTTGTCTTCTCATTCTTTTCACGCTGTCTGTCACAGAGCAAGAGTTTTTAATTTTAATGAATTCCAGCTTATCAATTCTTCATGGATCATGCTTGTGGTGTTGTATCTGAAAAGTCATTGCCACAGCCAGAGTCATCTAGGTTTTCTCCTATGTTATCTTCTAGGAGTTTTATGGTTTTGCGTTGGACATTTAGGTCTATGATCCATTTTTAGTTAATTTTTGTGAAAAGTGTAAGGAGGTCTGGGTCTAGATTCTATTTTTCTTTTTTGTGTGTGAAGATTGACCCTGAACTAACATCTGTGCCAGTATTCTCCCATTTGGTATGTGGGATGCGCCATGGCTTGATGAGTGATGTGTAGGTCTGCACCCGGGATCTGAACCTGTGAACCCCAGGCTGCTGAAGTGGAGAATGTGAACTTAACCACTACGCCACTGAGCCAGCCCCTAGACTCATTTTCTTGCATGTGGATGTTCAGCTGTTCTAGTACCCTTCGTTGAAAAGGCAACCTTTGCTTCATTGTGGTACCTTTGCTTGTTTGTCAAAGATTAATTGACTATATTTATGAGGGTCTATTTCTGGTCTCTGTATTCTGTTCCACTGATCTACTTGGTCTATTCTTTTGTCAACACCACACTGTCTTGATTACTGTAGTTTATAAAGTACTTACTTAAAAATAACTCTTGAAGTTGGGTAGCACAAGTCCTCCAACTTTGTTCTTCTTCAAACTGAGTTGGCTATTCTGGGTCTTTCTCCTCCCCATATAAACTTTAGAATCAGTCTGTCAATATCTACAAAAAGTCTTGCTAGGATTTTAATGGGGATTGCATTGAATCTATAGATCAAGTTGGGAAGAACTAACATCTTGACAATATTGTCTTTCTATCCATGAACATGGAATATCTCTCCATTTATTTAATTCTTTGCTATCGTTCATCAGAGATTTGTTGTAGTTTTCCTTAGATAGATCTTGTACATATTTTGTTAGATTTATACCTAAGTATTTAATTCTGGGAGTTGCTAATGTAAATGGTAACGTGTTTTTAATTTCAAATTTCATTTGCTCATTCCTGGTATATAAGAAAGCAATTGATTTTTGTACATTAACCTTGCATCCTACAACCTTGCTATAATCGCTTATTAGTTCCAGGAGCTTTTTAAAAAATTCTTTTGGATTTCCGACATAGATGATCATGTCATCTGTGAACAACGACAGTTTTATTTTTTCCTTCCCAATCTGTATACCCTTAATTTCCTTTTTTTGTCTTATTGAATTAGTTAGGATTTCCAGTACAATGTTGAAAAGCAGTGGTGAAAGGGGACATCCTTGCCTTGTTCCTGATCTTAGCTGGAAAGCTTTGAATTTCTCACCATTAAGTTTGATGCTGCCATAGGTTTTTGTTGTTGTTGTTGTTTTGTTTTGTCTTGCTGAGGAAGATTCATCCTGTGTTAACATCCATCGCCAATCTTCCACTTGTTTTTGCTGGAGGAAGATTGTCCCTGAGCTAACATCTATGCCAATCTTCCTCTATTTTGTATGTGGGTCACTTCCACAGCATGGCTGTGGATGAGCTGCGTAGGTCTGTGCCCAGGAACTGACACTGGGCCACCAAAGTGGAGCATGCCAAACTTTAACCACTGGGCCATAGGGCCAGCCCTGCTATAGGTTTTTTTTGTAGTTTTTTTTTTTTTTATCAAGCTGTGGAAGTTCCCCTCTCTTCCTAGTTTGCTGAGAGTTTTGATTATAAATGGGTGTTTGATTTTGTCAAATGCTTTTTCTGCATCTATTGATATGATCATGAGATTTTTCTTCTTTAATCTGCTCATGTCATATATTACCTTAATTCATTTTTGAATATGGAACCAGCTTTGCATACCTAGGATAAATACCATTTGATTGTGGTTCTTTTTATTCATTGTTGGATTTGATTTGGTAAATTTTTTTGAGGATTTTTGCATCTATGTTCATGAGAGATATTGGCATATAGTTTTGTTTTCTTGTGATGTCTTTTTCTGGTTTTGGTATTAGGGTAATGCTGGCCTCATAGAATGAGCTGGGAAGTATTTCCTCTGCTTCAATCTTCTGAAAGATATTATAGAGAATTGGTAGAATTTCTTCCTGAAATGTTTGCTAGAATTAACCAGTTAACCAATTTGGGCTATGCACTTAATTATTGATAAATGAATGCTGGGATAAAATGAATGTGGTTTTATATGGAGAAACTTGGTTACACTTTGGGGCACTTGACATAAAGCTATAGCCTTGTACATATGAGAGGGGATTCATCTGTTAGAAGTCATTCTCTATGTAAAGCATACAGTTCAGAGTCTCTGCTCAGATCAAAGATCATGTTTCTCTGGGAACTTTCTCCAACACCACTTGTTCACTTACAAGAGTGAGCCTGGGCACCAGGTTTGTATGATGTGACCTCCTTTCCTACCCTATGGCCACACTTGATTGGACCAGGGATAGACAATTGACATAAGCTGGACCAGTCAGATTCTCTCTTCATGGACTTGGGATTTAGGACCAAGAGGCAGGTCCCCAGTTTCTGCATAGAGTTAGAATTGAGGTGCTCTAGACCACGGGAGCTGTGGACCAGTTGTTGTTGGAGTTGTTGCACCAGATACGTGTAAAGGTCTGCCTGCTAAGAGAGAAGGACCACGTGGAAACTGATCAGGTTGCTGGGAACAAGCACACAGAGTGGGACTGAGGAACTGTCCGGGGAAAAGCTCAGAAGACTCCACCTGGGACCCATGAAAGGTCACAAAAAGTGTATCAGGGCTTGGGTACCCCAGGTCTAAGGATGGGGTGGGTCCCATGCTTCTCGAGTTGGTTCCTGGAAAGGGAGCTCAAATGGCTTAACCCCTCCTCCAGGGAACACAGGCAGCGGGGACAGGAACCAAACAGGAAAAGGCACTGTGTATTTATGCTCCTGAAACTGATGGACAGAGCAAGGCAGGGACAGGTCCTGGGAGAGAGTTGAGGATACTCCATATGGGAGCCTGTCTACCGTCCTCCTCAGAGGGCACAGCTTTGGCTTGTGTTGGGAGGAGGGGAAGAAAGTGCTTTGGAGGCTGAAGCAAGGATCTAAGACTGGGATGGAGCAACTGAACTTCCCAATGTGCAGTAACTGAGGGCCGAAGCAGGACTGGGTCCCACCCACCTCTGTTCTTCTACACCCTGGGCCTAACCCTTCAGCCACCAGAGGAAAATCACGAATGGAACCCAGGGCTTTGGAAACACAAGATGTCTGGAGGCTTTTATTTAAGTAGACTTTAATTAGAAGTAAACTAAAGAGTTTTGAGTGCAAATGCATTTTGGTTTTTAACTTAGAGCCATCACCCCATTATTAACTATGGCATGTGCGTGTGTGTGTAAGTCGGCGTCCTCGTGGGTATGTGTGTGTGAAAATCCATTCATTTACGTAGTGGGTCTTCATGGCCTCTTTCTGTCCGCCTCTGTGTCTACTGACCAGGAGTGGTTCTGCCTTTATTATTATTCATTCCCATTATTCATTCTCTTTGAAGAATCCTGAATCGCCTTCAGTCACCTTCCTCTTTCCAGCCTTCCCAAAGCAAGGGCGCCTAGAAGTGTGCGGGTGAGGCTGGGGTGGGTCCTGAGGTATCTAGGCCACAGCTGCCCCTTTGGGGCGAGGCCTCAGCTTTCTGAGTCCAGGGGGTAGGAGTACTGGGCCTTGGAGCAGCCCCAGAAGCGAAGGACCACAAATGTCACGACCCCCAGCAGCAAGAGGGCGCCCAGGGCCCCAAAGAGGATCCCGAAGAAGGCGCCGAGTTTCATGCTCAGGTGCTCACAGCGCTCGCCCCACGACGTGTAGATGGAGAAGGACACACACCTGGGGACAGAGGGAGGGACGCGGTCAGCACCAGAGAGGCGGGCGCCCAGCCTCCCCACCCCTCCTCTCCGCCGGGCCAGAGGCGGTGTTGCACTCTCGCCTCCGGGGAAAGCGGCGGAGTCTGGCCCGGGGCGGGGCAGAACCGGGGCTCCCGGGCTCGGAGGCAGGCGCGGCGGGGAACCCACGCGGCTCGGACCCCTGAGGACTGCGGGAGGGGGCAGGGCTGGCCTCAGGGAGCATGCGCAGTCATAAACCCAGCCCCGCCCCCGAGAGCTGCCCCGGCCCTCGGCTCCGTCTGCAGTCCTTGGACCCGGGAGAGGAAAGGGTTGGGTAGATCTGGAACTTGTGGGGTCGAAGGTAGACGGAGGGCCGTGACATGACGAGAGGGCCCGGGTGGCGCTGCCCTTGTCCTCCTTAGCGGGCCTGCAGACCTAGTGGGCCCCATCACGGGAGCCCTCAGACTTGATGGACCGAGGAGACCTGCCGCGCCAATCTCAAAGGGCCTCCCCTGACTGGTCCTCTTAAGGAGGGGCGGGGCCGGGCCCAGACACAAGACAACGCCTTCTTTTTGCACAAGGAGACAGCAGGGTGCCTACCCAAGAAGCAAAATGAGGTGGAAGAGTTTGGCTTAGGAACCTATATCCTTCCACTTCAGTTACTGGGTACCTTGGGTTCATTATCATCTCTGAGCTGCACTTTCCTCGTCTTTAAAGAGGTGATAATACTTACCGAGTAGCTAGTTTGAGTTTCAGAAGTAACATAGCATCCTTCTTCTCCACACAGAGTGGGCACTCACACATCTTTTCCATTGTCCCTTTTTCTCTGATCCCTGTTCTCTCACTTACAGAGAGATCGATCCTGATTTTCAGACACTGAGAGGTCTCACGGCATTTCTGGACCCTCGCAGTATCTTTGCCCAGCTTGGATTCCCCAGCACTGCCCTCCACCTCCTGCCCCACTCACTTGCAGCTAGGCCCTTGGGGCAGGTGCTGGCATTGACCTCCGTGCTCACAGTAGCCCTGACTGCACGGGGACACGCAGGTGACGCCGCTATGGGGGCTGTAGACCAGGCGGTAGCCCTCGTAGCCATCGCATTTGAAGTAAGTCTCCAGCGTGCTCACGTTCACTGTCAGGGAGGACACACATGAACACGGAAAGCAGTCGATTAACACCAAATCTATGCCTCTTCAACCAAGAATTGCATTGTCACCCATTTAGCCTGAGAAATGATTGGAAAAGCCCACAAATACATTTGCTCACGGATGTCCAGAGCAGCATGGTTTATAATAGCAACAACGTTTAACAGGAGAGGATTTGTTAGCTAAGGAATATTGTGCAACCAGCAAGCTCCACGGTGTGGAAATGCTTGGGTTAAGAGCACATGCTTTGAAGTCAGCCAGACTTGAGTTGACTCTACTACCAGCGAGTTGTGTGATTTGGGGGAAATTTCTTAACTCTTTCAGCCTCAGTTTCCTTATCTTTAAAAGGAAACAATAATAGCAGCTGCTGTGCTGTGAGGTTTAAATGAGATTGTATATGCAGAGCAGTCAGTCCAGTGCCTGACACAGTAACCACCTGACACAGGATCACGGTGCGCATAACGCTGTTTAAACTACGTCCTAACACACTGTATTAAAACATAAAATAATACATCCAATGGGACTCTGTACACAATATGCAAAGTAATATGCTCACAGTCGTTTAAGTAATGAGGAGGTTATGAAACATTAGGTACGATTTGATCCCTTTATTATAAAAGAATATTGATATGTGGGAAGGTTCCTGTGCATAAAAGAAAATTCAGAATGATATGTGCAAAGTGGATTCGTCTCTGGGGACTGGTACTACAGGTGATCTTTTTCTCTTCTTTTTGTTAATTTGTGTTTCCTAAAGTTTCTACAATAACATATTGTACTTGTATAATAAAAATTGTGGGGGTTTTTGGTTTGTTTTCTTTAAGAAAAGGCAGAGACAGTTATGGGGTTGTTGTTGCCTTATACCCAGCCCTCCCGGCGACCACACACACAGAGCACTTCAGAGGATCTCACACTGCTGCCCCCGGAGGCCGGCGGCTTAGCCTGCGTGCTAGAAGAAGCTCTTGCTTGATCCCACACCCAAGCCACATAGCAGCTTCTGTTGGGTTTGGCATGTTCTCTGTCTCACTACCCAAACAGGGTAAACTGTTCCTTTCCTTCTCTGGCAAGCTTGCCAACCTGTCTCGTCCGTTCTGGGATAATCAGGGGCTGTCAGAGCTGACAGGGACGTCAGAAATCTCATCCCATTTTCTGGATGCGGGTGTTGAGGCCTGGATTGGGAATGGATTTTGGACAGGGTCACACCCTTTCAAGGAGGGAATACCTCTGCCCCTGGCTCAGGTCTCCAGTCTTCAACTTAATATCCCCCAGCCGGAGGACAAAAGCAAAAGGGATGTCCTTGTTTACGTTTATGAAGTGCAATGGTGTTTTTAACAAAATCATTAACAATTTTATTAAAAGAAAGAAAACCATCAGCAGTGATGGGCAGGCAGGTGGCAGCTGGAGTAACTAACTACTCTGTGAGACTGTACATGCGGGCATTTCTCAAGCAGTATTTTGTGTTCCTGCGCTTGGATCTAGAAAGCTGGTGGGTAAACTGTTCATAATTTCTCTCAAAAATTACACATAAAGCTAAATTAACTTGTTTCTTGCTTGTCTGTGGCCCTCCATAGAATACTTTTCCACCAGGGGTTTGTGTGGGCTGAAAATCTGTGACAGGCTCCCTCCCTTTACCTCCTCCCCTCAGCTATGCTGGACTGTCCCCAATATAGTGACTCACGAGCCATCACACTGCGCACATCTTCCCTGGAGAGGGGCTGGAAGACCACGTTGTTCCTGGGCCCCTCGCTTCTCTTCCACCTCCTGTTCGGGGCCTGGAGGAAGGCCTCCACTATTGCATCCACCAGCCGGTTATTCAAGAAGTCAATGACGGGACCCCGAGGGCGGTACCGGAATGTCGAGGTGACCTTCCAGTGTTGAAGGGTGCTTCCTGTGATGGGATTGCTGTGTGGGAGGGACACAGTGAGAGGCTAAGTAGAGGGGGAGGGGGAGGACCCAGGGACCAGGTGGGGACAGTCCCACTTACATGCGTTCCACTTGGCTGTTCCTGAAAAAGGCCCGTACTTCCAGGTTTCCCAGTCTGTAGGCCACCTAGGGCAGAGGAGGGGGGTTGGGGGCGGTAGGGGTGAGGCCCAGTCCATGAGGGAGACCCCTGCCACTTTAATGCATTTATTCATCCCTGTATGTTTCCTCCGTTGAACGTGAGCCCCAGGACCCCAGAACATCTCACCCATTTCTGCATCCCCACACCCCAGCCTTGCCCAGTGAGTGGCGTGGGTCCCTGCTTAATAAAGTTTGTGGGTGAGTGAAGGACTTTACATACCATCCCCCCTGCTCTTACTATGAAGGGAGGATCTGAAGTGAACGCCCCCTACCTTGCCTCTGATCCCTGCTTCGCCCACTCCTTCTCTCCCCAAAGGTCTATTGAACATCAACTATCTTTAACCAAACCTAGGGGGTGTTCGGGTGCTGGGCATGTCAAGGTGACTTAGGAATAGCCCATATTCCAAGACCCGTAGTCTGGGGCAGTAGACAAATGTCAACAGATTTTACCACGCAGTGTGGAGGGCTGTAGTAGGAGGAGTAGTAGTAGGAATTATTATTATTATAATTTTTGAACACTTATTGTGTTTCAGACACCATGCTGAGTACTTTACATACATTATCATTTAAACTTTGACACAACCCACTGTCACATGTACTATTATTCTTTCGGTTTTTACAGATGAAACATCAAATAATTTGTCTAATTATTGCACCTGCTCTGGTGAGTGGTGGAGCCAGGATTCGAACCCAGGTATGTAGGATTCTACAGTCTGGATAACTCAACTTCTGTGCTACTTTGCCTGTGACTGGGGAATGGACAGGGGCATGGGAGACAGGAAGAGGAAGCACCAGTTGCCTCTGGGAAGTCAGGGAAGGCTTCCTGGAGGTGAAATTCCTTCTCGTGTCTCTTCCATGTAATATACCCAAGTGAAGGTCTCGAGGGATGCTCAGAAGGAGAGGCTGGGTGAGGCGGTCACCCTAGACTCTGCTCATTGCGAGTTGGTCATTCCAGTCCCCTCAGAGGTCCCTGTCCTGGGGCTTTCTACCTTTTTGACCCCCAACCCCCACCTCGCACCCCAGAGGGCTCCAGCCTTTGCTGGCAATTGAGTCAAGATGGATGATGAGATGCAGAATGCACAAGCGATGGCTAAGGCCCTGCCCGGAACCTCCCAAGACCCGCGTCCCCACTGAGCGGGCCTGCAGCACTGACCGAGGCGTTGACCTCTGCCGCAGAGGCATTTTCTTCTTCACTGAGCGACATCTGGATGATTCTCAATGGAAGCTCTGGAGATGGGAGAAGCAGATTCATAGCACCTCATGCTTTACCCAGACTTACCCAAAAAGGCCATTGGGCCAGTTGGGGAGACCACCACATTCTACAGTGATAGGTCACCAGAGGCATCAAGAGAAGTGGCCGAGTCTGCTGACTCTCACCTAGTGCTTGTTCAACTATGGTCACGGCTTCCCCGACTCTCAGCTCTCTGAGCTGTGAGGTCGTCTGCAGTCTGTGCTCAGCAGACCCCTCGGGCCTGGGGTTCATGCTGGGACTGCTGCCCCCCAGTAGCTCCCACAGCCTATAACTTACCACCACCGAGAGAAATTGGAGTTCTGTCCTGTGGGTTTGAGGAACTCAGCCCTGGTCCCCAGGCTCCCTCATCTCCCCCCAAGGCAAGAGGCGTGTGGAAGTAGGGATGGCGGGGGCATCTGGGGCTACCTAGACTGATGGTTGGAGTGAAACTGTTGCCGGCCAGGAAGCAGCGGGAGTCGGTGAAGGCTGGGGGGCAGGTGCAGGTGGGCTGGCAGCCCTCGGTCTGGGAGATGTAGCAGTGACCGTGGTTGTGGCAGTAATTCACAGGGCAGGACTTGTTCTGACAGAGCAGAGGGGTCTCTAGAGCTGCAGAGGGAGCAGAGAGGTCAGCAACACCATGCTGGGTAGCACCGGGAGCCCCCAGCCCATGGAAAGCTGCTCCTAGGACAGGCTTGGTTTCTTTCCCCCCAAACCCACTCAATCTACATTCTGCTCTGGGCCACTCTGAACCCCAAACTATCCTTCTCCCTTTGCGGAGCATTTCTCTGCTGGGCAACCCTCTTCCTCTGCTGGGTAGGTATTCTCCCACTTCTGCTGAGGGAATGGAGTGTTTATCAGACCCTCCGCATCAGGAAAGGACCCAGCAGGCTGGCGGGAGAAGGGCACGCCAGCCTGCTTTCTCCACTTCCATCCCCTTTCCTGCCTGGATAAAGCTGTGGTTCTAGCGCTCTGGCCTCTGCTCAGAAGACACAGTGGTCTCTACATTTCACTCGGGTGCTTTAGGGGGCTTGGTGGAGGCCTTGCTGTGATCTTGCTCATCATGACTCCAGTGGCTCAGAGGTTGAGGAACAGAGTGGTGGGAGGAGGACTCAAAGGGAAACTGTGGACCTCTGCCACCGGATGCCCACGACCGCCCCTCCAAATGCCTGCCCAGGGAGATGCAGAGACCCTGGGCCTTGCATCTCCAAAGACCTCCAAAGAGGAGCCTGAGGGCCCCGGCTTGCCTCTGGTCCCCTGGCTGTTGCTGGAAGTCTCCACCCTTCTCCAGGCCGTCTGCAGCCTTTTAACCTGGATTTTCCCCATCAGTGCCTCAGGGCTGCTCTGCCCTGGCCTCCCCCGCCTGCCTGTACGAGGTCTTCTCCTGCCTCCTCACGCCTTACCATACCCTCCTATACTGAGCATCCTAAAGCCTTGCTGGAAAAGGGAGAAATGGTTTGCCCTTGGCTGCCATAGGCCCTTGAAATGTCACCTGACCCCAGAACCTCCTCCTGCCGGGGCCCTGTTCTGGCTCACCTGCACAGTGACGCCCATCCCCAGTCAGGTGTGGGGGGCAGGCCTCACAGCCCTTCCCACGAACGCATGTCACATTCGGGAAGCATGCCTCCTCACAGAGGTCCGTGGAGAGATTGCAGTAGGGGCCAAAGGTGTTCTTGTCACACTTGCAGCCAGCCACCTGGAATGGGTTGCTGATCACTGGGCAGCCAGGATGCTGAACCATTAAGGGCTTCTGGGGGTTTGTGTATTGACCCCTCTGGTCTGAGAACCCACGGACCCTGAGTCCTGTCTAAATTCTGCCAGCATCTACTGAGCACCTTCTTGACCAGGCCCTGGGCCTGCACGACCCCACCTGAAGGCATACCGCCCTCCAGCCCACTCGGCCTCCCTTGGCCACTCTTCCCCTGACCCCGTTCCTGGCCCCTGCCCCGGGATCTCAGCCTGTTCCTTCTCACACCATATCTCCTTGTCTGAAATCCTTTCTAGAGTAGGACGGGGGCTATATAAGCAAATATTCTACTCTCCCTTGAAAACTGGATCCTGTATAAGCTGCCATCATCTGCTGTACATTTTCTTGCCGACTCTCGAACCAAGAGGACGGAGCCTCACTCAGCACACCGAGAACACGCAGGAACCAGAACAACAACAGGGGAGCTCACGGTTCCAGGAAGCCCCCGGAGCTCCCTGGTTTCTCCTTTCGGGCTCCCCTACTGCGATGACTCTGGAAATCTCCCTACAATGGAACCCGCCAACCATCCTACTTCCGAGACCACCTGTTTTAGGATATCTACAATAACATATGGATTTTAATCTCTGTTTTTCCCACTCTGCATTTTTTTCCTTTTCCCCCTGGGCTCCCCTACCTCTACCCCTTTCAAGTAGGAATCTCTGCTCAGGCCTCAGGAGACGGGTGAGTGTGTATAAGGGGTAAGGGGGTGGTGGGGCATTGCCAGCCAAACCTTTCCTTTCTAGCTCCCCTTATATAAAAAAATTAGAATTAAAAAAACAGATGGGCCAAGATTCATGGACTTAGGCCAAGTATCTTGGCTAGAAACTTGAAGGGAGAAGGATTTTCTTCAAACTGAAAAGAGATGCTTCTTTTAGTTGGAGGGAAAGAGAAAACAAAGGGGTTTGGGGTGCCAAGATGAGAGGAGACCTGCACCTCTTTTCCCAACACCGTGATGACGAGACCCCAGAGAGAAATGGCTGTGAGGTGCTTCTAGGCAGAAGGGACTTTAAACCACCTTACAAAAGGTTTCCTCTGTCTGAGCAAGGCACAGACGCCGCAGAGCACCTCCCTGAAGAGCAGGGAGCATGGATCTTGTGATCTGCGTGGACTCAGCCCAGGGACCACACAGACACCTTCCTACCCTGCATCTCAATGCCTGTTCCAGGACTGTGGAGCTGGGAACCACTGGGAAACTCTAAGAAAGGCTGAGGTGGAAGTGTCCTGCTAGCCTGCCAGAATGAGAGCTGGGAGATAAAAATTCAATTGAGCTATAAGCAGTAAAGAAAGTTCTGTTTCTTATACAGGTAAGTTTGTGGCTTGAGATTGGTATCTGCTCTTCTCACTCACCACCCAACACACACATCACCACAGAGGGGCTGAATTAAGACATCCCTTCAATTCCCACTTCCTTTTCCCCCCAACACAGAAACTTCCCTCCCACCCTCTGCCCAACACTCACCTCCAAGGAGGAATTGCCCACCCTGCTGGTCTGGTTGTATAAACACTGGCTCTCTGCCTTGCAGGCACAGACCACTGTCTTTGGCTGGAGTACAGATGACAAGTTGTCCTTGACATTTCTGGCTAGAATCTCCAGAGTGAATGGTTCCACCTTCGTTGGTGTCCATAGCAATGTCCCATTCTCTGTCCCGGGGAAAATGAGGTCATTGAGAGCTGGAAGCCTCGTCTGCTCTGCTGTCTGACATGTCCTGGCATCTGGCATCTAATACCCTGAGTGCTGATGCTGGACTTCCACCACCCCTCTCAGACCATCTCTTACATCTCATCAGGCATTTCCTAGAGCAAGGCTGGTTTCCTGGGGTGATCCTGGTCACGCTCCAAGCTGGAGGTAGCACCAGCCCAACAAACTGATTGTAGGGTGGAACTCCACAGAGGGGAAGGCAGCTGCACCCTGAAGAGACCCCAAAGGGCAACCCTCCCTGGGCCTGCACTGGGATGGGACATCCAGGAGGGATGGAGGATAAAGGCCAGGATCCTCCCAACACCTCCCCAGGCTACACTGCAGGCCAAACTGGCTTCATCTTCACAGCAGCCCCATCTCTTGCCCTGATTTCTCACCCACCCGTCTCACTTCCCTGACCTTTGACCAGCCACCCCTTCAGAAACCAGACTATAGTGAAACACTGCTACATAGCAATAAGGACTCTTCTGATCAAACTTGTCTTACATTTTTCAAGAAAATAAGAAAGTCTCCTTAAAACAGCAGGTTGAGAGGAGCTGATAGTAGGGAACAGACAAGAGGAAGTTCCAGGCCACCACTCTTCAAGAGAGGAGACTAGTGGTGGAAAAAATCTCCTGATGCCGTGGTCCAGCACCTAGGAGGCAGCCATGTGGAGCAAAAGGGTATAGACAAAGCCATCCCTTCTTGTGCAGAGAAAGAAAATGAGGTACAGAGGTGCTCACAGCTCAGAATAAGGTCCCTAAGGGCTTTGGGTTAAGAACAAACAGACACCAGTATAATTAGCGCAGGCAACAGAAGTCAAGCTGCAACTGTAGGCTTTGACTCTTTGACCCAGATTGTGGTTACAGGCCTGGGGGTGCTCCACGCCTTGACTGGGAGGGAGAGATGAAGCTTTGCTTGGTCCCAGCACAGAAAAGCAGACAAGGAGCGACAAAGTTAGGTAAACGTGGTTGGCAAACATACAAATAGTGAGAAATGCACCAGTCGAAGGTATTTGTATTTCTTTAAATCTTGTTTCACATTATATCCTTCTTTTATTAGATATGAAATGTTTTAAATTAGTATTTATTCATTGTTATACTTTATTCTAATAATTTGGTGATTGCATAAAGATGATTAAAGATGGCTGCATATTATTAGATTGAGATGAAGTGATCTTTGAATCAATTGTACGTGCCCGGAGTCAGTCTAGCTAGCTGGCCACATTGCCAGAAGCCCATCACTGCTATTCACTGGGGACACCTATTTGAATTATGAGGATCATTCCTAAGAAATGCTGGTCCTGGTTATTCCAGGGGTAAAGTGACATGAAGTTACACAGGGTATAATAATCCAAAATTACCCAAAGCTTGACTCTGGCCTTCTCTCCCACTCCCCCAGCCAAGCATTCTCACCAAAGAGCTTGCAGTCAGTGTTGTTGTCTCTGAGAATAAAGGTGACATTCTTAGAGCTGCTGGTGTACTGAAACAGCTTGGTCTTCCCGATGTGGGCTTCCACCACGCGATCGCCTTCAATAGAGGGTGGATACTGATCTGAAGCACAAAGAGGGGATTCGGGGTCAGAGGCAGAACCCTCCGTTGCCTTAAGGGCGTCCTCTCCCTCTCTCTAGCCCTCTGGCTTGTGTAGGCATCCCTAAGGCTGTGGCCCACCACTGGAGGCAGGGGTTATTCTGTGTGCCTGCTCTTGGCCCTCCGCAGACTGGGGTGAATTGTCCTGTCCACCTGGCCAAATCTTTGTTCTCTCTTTATCTTCTCCCCAAACAGGATTCACTTCAAGTTCTTGCCTGATCAGAGTGCTATGCTGGGCATGGTACGAAGTGAATCATAGAACAGAGTTGTTCAGATCATCCCAGAGTTTTACCTTTGGAAGACGGCTGAAACCATGAGGGTAATATCTAGACGGCCACTGCATTTGTCAGGAAACAGGGAGTAAAACCTTTCACTGCTCTCTGTTTTTCGGAGCCCTGCTATTTCCAATTTATTGTTTGTTCATTCACTCAGTCACTTAACACATTTATTGAGCACCTACCATGTGGCTGGTACTGTGCTAGGTAGTGAGGACGCAGCAATGAACAAACAATAAAAAAGATACTTAGGAAAATTAGAAAATATGTTAGGTAGTTATAAATGCTAAGGAGAAAAAATAAAGCAGGGAAGGTGAATAGGAAGTGTGGGTGAATGAAATTTTAGAGAGGCTAGCCAAGAAAGGCGTTGCTGAGAAGGAGACATTTGAAGAGAGACTTGAAGGTGAGAGGTGAGCCTGTGGCTGTCTGGGGGAAGGGCGTTCCAGGCAAAGAGAACAGCATGTGAGGAGTCTCAGAGTTGGGGGTGAGCCTGGCGTGTCTGAAGAACACAAAGGAGCCAGTGGGGCTGGAGTGGAGGGAAAGAGGCAGGGATGCTAGGAGGAGAGTTTCCAGAGGCAGTGGGGCCAGACCGGGCAGAGTTTTGAAGGTCATTGTAAGGACACAGTGAGCTGGGGAGTATGGGAGGGTTTGAACAGAGGAATAACAAGGGCAAGAGAATCTGTTAAATTTAAAAATGTGAAGCTGAAAGGAGTGTCCCGGAAAAAGGGCTGGTCATCTGGCTCGTAAGTGCAAACCCCTCCCTGGGCCTCGGGTCGCTTACTGAGGGTGGCGTTCATCTCCTGGTATTGTCTAAAGAGCATGCTAGTGTGCAGTCCGGTGCTTCTGCTTCCCGTGGCCAGGGTGTCGTAGATGCATTGCTGATTTCCGTTACACTCGGAGGCCAATTTTTCACTCGAGGAGTTGTTTCTCAACAGTTCGGAAAAAAAGACAGGAGTGAAGTTGGAAGGCAGCTGGTCGTCTCTCTTGCCGAGGAGGCTTGTTTCGTTGATTCTCCCTGTAACACATGAGGCGCCGTGGTGGTGGTCCCAGGGGTGGGACTCCAGCTCTATTTCTGCTGTGCCCACCCCTTACCCTCACTTTATATGGCTTGGGGTGGTGGAGGGGGACATGGAGGGAGAGAGGGGCTTCCTGCTTCTGGTTTGGAAATCCCTGCTTTAGTACGTGAGGGCCACCCACTTCCCTCATCCTCTCTTCTAGATAGAGACGCAGGTGGGATGGGGATGGAGGGGACAAATCTGGGGTGGTACCAGAATCCTCAGCATCTCCTCCTGGCCTTTCCACCCCTCCCTCACAAAGGACGGAGGCCTGGTTCCCACAGGCCTGAGGGAGACAATGCTCCCGGCTTTCTTCATCCTGGCCCTGCTCCGTCTGCCCCGAGGACTCTGAGGCCCAGACTCACAGGTCATTCCATAGTGAAAAAACATCTCTTCAGAGCTGCTTCGGGAAATGGTAGAGCCATTGGGCATCCTGAAGTCGTCATCTGGATTGTTGTTCCAGACCCCTGAGGGACAGAGTAGGAGGTCGGCCACCCTGCAACTGTGGCTCTCCCCTTCCCTGGGGAGCATCCAGTGGGTCACACTCAAGATGTGAGGGGACCTGGAAAGCCTCTTCCAGTTGCATCTGTTCTCAGTTCAGTCCTCCAAGAGGAAGGGAGAGGACCATAGCCTCATAGCCCGCCCTCTGTTTCAGGGAGCCAAGAGGAGAAAATGAAGGAAGAAATAGAGGAAGAAGGGAGGGAACGTGGGGGAGGAAGGGAGGGATGGGAGGTGTGAGGCTGGAGGCAGGAGAAGGGCAGCTGCTGGCCCCACCCTCCCCAGAGCCCCTCTTTCTTGGCCCCTTGGCTGCCCTGGAATCTAGCTTGGGGAGGACAGGAAGTGAGCCTTAAAGGTAGCTGAAGGGGCCCTTCCCTGCCGCTCTGTGCCCGCAGGGCTCTGCTCCAAGGAGGCTGAGAGGGCACAGCCTGGGATGTCACAGGCCAGTGGGAGAGGGATTTGCCTGCAGACTCGGGGTCCAAGCTCCTGCTGCTGCCTCAGCCTCAGAGGCGGCGCCCAGGCTGCTTCTTACCCAGGAGGCCCTCTGTGCGGTTTTGATACTCCTCTGGGAGGCTGCAGGAGGCGTGGAGGATGTTGGAGAGAGCGATCACTGAGATGGTCACTGTCCCATCGAAGCTGGCTGACACCAGCGAGCCATTGCGGGTCATTACGACTCCGGTGGTGTTGAATGTCTCCTGGCCTAGAGAGTTGGGAGACAGATGAGGAAGAATCCAGGAACCCTGCAGGCCCAAGACTTGGCAGTCGTGAAGGTTCAAGATGCAAAGAGGACTTTAAGAGCAGCTCTGGGATGTCTTTCTCCAGAAGCTCAAAACCAAACCCACAGGACCCCCTCAAGGCCCACATCACCACCTTCCACCCAGGGACAGAGGACAGGGGCTGCCACAGAGAGGCTGTCACAGCCCTGGAGGAAGGGAGGAAGTGAGGAGGGAAAATTTAATGCCTGGCTCCTGGGTGAAGGAGATGCTCAGGCACAGCTGCTGAAGGGACAGCAGGGGTGGCGACCATTCTCCTCTGCCCTCCGCCCCAGTGCTGCCTCCATCCCCACACACTGTTCCCAGGTGCAGGCACCCCGCTGACCCTGACCCAGGGAAGCAGGAGAGGGCAGCAGATGGCTGTCCCCAGCCTACCTTCTGCATCTTCACGGTTAGTCTCAAATGTCACAGTCTGGTTATTGAGCCGCGCTTGGATTGTGTCATTGGGCTTAAGGAGCCATTGAACCTGGAAGGGAATTGGAGGACGCCTAAGCCCAGTCTGCAGGCGGGCCCAGAGGCTGAGTAAGGAAGCTGCAGAGAGCTTAGAACCTGAGCCCTGGACAAAGCTGAAGGTGATGGACAGGGTACGATGAGGCTATGCTAGCGAATGTGTATGGGGTGCTTAGCATGGGCCAGGCTCTGAGCCAGGCACATTTCTTAGATCATCTCACTTAAATCTCACAACAGCCCTGTGAGGTAGGCAATATTATTACCCCCATTTTACTACAGGAAAACTGAGGGGCTGGCCCTGTGGTGCAGCGGTTAAGTTTGCACGTTCTGCTTCTCGGTGGCCCACAGTTTGCTGGTTCGGATCCCAGGTGCGGTCACAGCACCGCTTGGCACACCGTGCTGTGGTAGGCGTCCCACATATAAAGTGGAGGAAGATGGGCACGGATGTTAGCTCAGGGCCAGGCCTCCTCAGCAAAAAGAGGAGGACTGGCAGTGGTTAGCTCAGGGCTAATCTTCCTCAAATAAAAAAAGAAAACTGAGGCACCAGCAGTTGTCATTTCTTAGTCACACAGCTAGTGGGGCCGAGACCCCAATCCTGCTGTCTCTAGGGAGGACTCTTGAACCCCTACACTGGTAGGATGCGTCCTCCCTCCTTCCTGCTCTCTTCTCTTCTTCCTTCTCTTCCTCCTCCTGAGCCTGGATTTCCAGCTGAAGGTCCCTGAGCTGAAGGCTCCCTGTGAGGGGAGCAGGGATGTCTTGGCACCCCTGCCTTGCTCACCATGATGGGGCCCAGGCTGGTGGAGTTGTATTGAGCGGCAAAGGCGATGAAGTTGGAGGCCTGGGCGGAGCCGGTCAGAGCCGTGCGGCCCTGTAGCAGGAAGGAGGAGTTTCCGTCCTTGGCCCGGACGAGCAGGAAGTCCCCCAGCCCATTGAATGTGTAATTGGCACCATCCAAGGTGGTGATGTGGGGGTCCCCGAACATCCAGGCTGGAAAGAAGGAGATGCCACATTGGCACAGTAGACCAGCAAAGGGTCTGAGGTTCCCCACTGCCCCCAGGCAGGGCATTGGCCTGGGTAGACTGAAGCCTGGGGAGGGTTCATGGAGTTTAGAACCCACCCCAGAAGCTCTTCTATACTTTTGTGCCCCCATCCCAGCCATGTCTGCTCATTATCTCCCCACCCCCCATTTCCTTCCCCAATGCCATGTATGAAGCCCTTCTGTTTGCCATCGGCTGTAATACACTGGACACGTCTCCATCTTCCCTTGTGGCCACAGACCTGCCCCAGGAGGCTAGTGCTGCCCTGGTCCAGGCCCCAAGAGGCTGCCCCTCCCTGGATCCTCTGCCTCTATCCTGCCGGAGGGCAGGCCTGGCAGCCTCACCGGGCCTCAGGGGCCGGTACCCAGCACAGCCAATGCGGGGCCGCCACTGCTGGTACAGGATGCAGAAGGAGGGCTTGTCGTTCCAGCGGCAGCACCAGTTCTGTGCCTCCAGTTCTTGGTCTGTGGAGCAGAGCAGTGTGTTGAGGGGAGAGGAGGGCTGGCAGAACCTGCTGGAAGGTTTGGTAGGGCAGGGTGATACAGGAGATAAGGGCATGGATTGGGAATCGGGCACACCTCAGCTCAGATCCCACCCTGCTCAATGACAGGCCATTGACCAGTTACTGTCCCCCGGCAGGCTTGCTGGAGCCATGTGCAGCCAACCCCTCAGGGCGGGCACATGGTCAGGGCTGAGGAACTTCCTGTCTTGAAGGGTGGAATGCTAGTCCCATTGCTCTCGAAGTGCTGGGGGTGGGAGGGTGTGGCTGATGGTCTGGGGACTATGAGGGCTGCTGCGATTACAGGAAGGAGGGGGGAGGGCCCGCAGTGTCCCGGCCCCCCAACTCTGTGCTCTCTAGCTCCTTTGGAGGGTCTCTGCAGGAGATGACTCCATGTCTTCCCCAGGCAGCCTGGTAATCTGGGTCCAGAGGGACAGGGTCAGACTAGGCCCCCTCCGCCTCCCTAGAAGGATGCTGCCATTCTGGGCTGGGGCTTCAGGGCCAAGTGGAGATGGGGCAAGAGGCACTCAATCATAAATCCCTCGGATGTGAGCTGGAAGGGATGTCAGAAGCTTCCTAATGTTACAAGATCAGGAAATGGAGGGCCAGAGAAGGGAAGGAGCTGGGAGGGAATGGGGACAAGAGGCTTCATTCTACGGGTTCCACTGCTTGGTGTGGAGCCCAGGCTGGTCTCTGACAGGGAAGAGCAGAGAGCTCCAGAGAAGGTGGGGTTGAGATCTTTATGGACACACATACCAAACTGCCAAGGATTCTGCACTCTCCAGCCTTCAAGAAGCTCTCCCCAGGGCCCATAGCTGCAGCACACGCCCCCACGCCAGGAGGAGAAGCTGCACAGCTGCCTGCTGCCGAGGCCCCAGCCTGCAACAAGTCCAGACATGCTCAGGCCACTATGCCTGTGGTGGGAGTGGGAATGGGGTAGGGGCGTTTCTGGGGAGGGGCTGAGGGTGCCCTGGAAGGGACAGGTCAGGCACGACCAGAAGGATGGTGGGTGGCTTCTGGGGGACAGTGAGGATGCCCCGAGAGACAGGAAGGACGTGTCACCTATGCTGATGGGCTGGAATCGTAAGTCCTGTAGTCCCTGCCACCAGGAGCAAGGGCAGGAGAGCCGGTTCCAGCCCCAGTGGGGCCACTGAGGCTGACTCTTCAACCACTGCAGGCACCTGAGACGGGGGTTGGGCCTTTCTTCCCTGTGTAGCCTATAGACCTGCAGCCCCCTGACACCTGGGGAAGAAAGGAAAAGGGGTTATCCCAGGGCCTGGGGCCACAGGCTCTGCTTTAGCTTTAGAGACAACTGAAACTCATAAATGCACCCTCTGGATGCCACTTCCCCCCATAGACACAGCTGTTTCAGAGATGGGACCCAGTCAGATTGGCAGTGATTTCTCCCCAAAGGCCCCTTTGATGTGTCCTCCAAAAGCCCTCAAAGCTTGGATCCTAGGGCGAAATCCTGGGACGAGTGCTAGGCAGGGAGGCCTCACCTGCACCCAACTCAGAGCCAAACCCTGGCCCTGATCTCCAGTCCCACCATCTGTCACTCTCAGCTCCAACACCTTGCAATGCCCCCAAACCAGTTCCTCCTCATGCACCCATATCTCAGTGAGCGAGCCACCAGCCACCCTCTCAGACACTTGTCTTTCCTCCCTGACCCTCCCTCTCCCCCAGCACAGACATGTCAGTGGCCAAAGCAGCCAGGACAGAGGCCAATGCTCAGAGGGCAGCTGGGGAGCAACAGAGAAGGTGGTATGGGAAGCAGGGGCTTGTTCCAACACCATGAGGCCGAGGAAGCTTCCTCTGTGCCCAGACGCCACCCTTGGAAGGGAGAAGAAACCCTGATGGGGGGTTTAACTTTAAATAGACCTTTAATTAATCATAAGTTATGTACTGCCCACCCCAGCCGCCATGAGTGAGAAGGGGGCCTCCAGAGTCCAATAAGATATAGGAGGACATAGTGTATTAGACTTTGACCCTGTTCCTATACAAAAGAAGAAATTATCAAGATAACTAGGATATGTTAAAGTTTTGACAAGAATAATCATTATTTGTGATTATCTGTTCGTGTATATTCTCCAGAATAGCGTGGTGTCAGGGGGAACACATCAGACACTCCCCGTTCAACATGTGCGCGCATGTGACACACAGTCGTATTGTGTCCCCTAGGTCACAAGCAGATGTATTTTGACAGAAAGGCCCTAATCTGACAGGGCAGCTCTCTCCACAAGATGGCACCCATGATTTGACTTAGCTTCTGTTTACCAAAAGTTCTTGCCACAGAACAAATAGAACTGAATTTATGATTCACAATTTACATGGCTGATTTCTAATGCTAAAATGTCCTCTGTTCTATCACATTTTGGAAACTATAATTTCTTCCCCTTTGGGGCCTCAGGACAGTACATGGAGTCATGGAGGAGGCCCATGGGGCCTAAAGTACTGGTCTTCTTACCAGAGCGAGAACTCTTTGGGAGCAAACATAGTTGGTCTTTTCCCTTTTTTTCATATTCCTGGCTCTTTGCACAGTGGCCAGCACACAGCAGGTGCTCAATAAGTGATGACTGAATGGATGTCAGACCTCTGGAACTCCTCTTGGTAGGTTCCCCATAAGGGATCTGGTCTGGGTTCTCCTTCCAGCTCCGGGACAGGACACTTGGAGTATTGCCTTAACTTCCCATTCATATCCCCACCTCCCGCCATCCCCCTGGCCTCACTTCCAGGCTCTGGGTCCCCACTGAGAGACCTTCTGGCTTTGGCTCATCCCAGGGAGATGTAGCTCCAACTGGGACTGTATTGTGCAAGGGCACAGAAGGTACCAGCAGCTCCCTGGTCAGTGTCAAGTCCCAATTACACCCAGGGGAGGTCAGATTGTGCTGGGACGCCCTTCAGGATGGTGGAGATGCTAGGGAGCTGCCCCTCTAGGATTTTCACGGCACACAGAGTAGAAGACAGAAGAGGACTTGCGTCTAGCTCAAGTGTGATGAGGTGGTGCTTTTACCTAAGCTGGAATTCAGGAACTGGTCTGGACGGTACTTCTCCCATGCTGGCAGGAGCGTCAGTGGGCTGTTTTCGTAATGCCCGTCTCCACTGCAGGCAAAGGAAAGAATCATAGGCCTGTGTCACAAAAGGGTCTTTCCTCTCAGTCAGCAACTTATTCGTTCATTCAACCAGTCAGTCAGCCACTCACTCACTCAGTCCCCCTAGTTGTTATCAGTCAGTCAGTCAATTATTCAATCAGTTGCTCAGTGAGTCAACCAGAATCACTGGCTCCCAGCACTAAGAGGAGAGAGGAAGAGATGGATGGGGCAAGGGTGAGAGGCTCTAATTTGCTCCACGTCTGATGGATAACTGCAAGAAACTGGTCATGAGACAGGAGACAGGAGTGTGAAAACAACAGAGTTCTGGCCTCCTTCCTGTCGTTTTCCTTTCGGCTAGGGGTTAGAGAGAGGGTTCCGTAGGGGGCTGCTCGTTGTGAGAGTTAGGAGCTGGTGTCTGGAGCTGGGCAGTTATGGATTCAACTCCTGATTCCAGCACTAGCAGCTGGGTGACCATGGGCAGGTCACTTAACGTCTCTGATTCTTAGCTTTCACATCTGTGTAAGAGGGATTAAGGGGGCATCTACTTCGAGATTTTGCGAGGATTAAATGCAGTAATGTTTGTAAATCCCTCAGAACTGAATGAGGGCCGCATGCGATGCGTGCTCCCCCGCTTCGCCGTGGGGTTCAAAGTGCGGCTCCAGGAAGGAGGAAATGCCTCAGAGCAGTGACTCCTGATCTATTCTCCTCTCTGACACAGGAGAGATGACGCACACAGGCGGGACACCTTCTGTGGGCACACTCAGCATGGTGTGGCGTGAAATTCCTAGCTAGTTGGATAATTCCACTCCTTTCTCTTGAGCAGCACATCAAAAAGCAAGTGAAAGCGACATAATTATAGGGGCAATCCTGAGCGCTCTAGGAGAAAACCATCCATAGCAATTACCAGTAACAAATTGCATGTGACCTTCACAACCGATTGCACACACCAGCAACTGGAAATACCGTGGCCAAGAACTGCTGTGTCAGAGACTGAGTCATCTCCACACCAGGAACCCACGGCCCCATCCACGTCCCCGTCCCTCCACTCTCCGTCTTTGCCACTGACCCCACACAAGCCATTGCTGCCCCCGAGTGAGGGGTTAATTCCCAGCCCATCAAAAGTCGGGAAGGCAGATTTCAGCCTCATACATCTGGGTTCAAATTCCTGCTTTGCCACTTCCCAGCCCTGTGACTTTGGGCAATCACTGACCTATTGTACCTCAGTTTCCTTATCTGTAGAATGGGTAATAAATAGAATCTCCTTCGTGGGATTGTGGTGATAATCAAATGAAATAATGCATATTGCATACTTAGTGTAATAAATGTTGGCTGCTCTTATTACAATATTTGAGAAGTCAAGAGGTCAGCCCACGTTTGTGGAAATCAGAGAAGTCAAAGCTCTGGGAATTATTACAAAGCACGAGGACTGAGATAGAGAAGAGAAGGCAAGGTGAGTAGAGATCTTTTCATCTGAAACAGAGAGAAGTGGGAACTGGAGTCAGTGTGAGGTAGACGTACCAGCAGGGAGCATTCATGCCTCGGCCTGGAAGATGGGAGTGTGTGCGGAACAAAACCCCTGCTCTGCCCCGTTTCCTATTATCTGCTCCGGGCTGACAGGCCCTCCCTGTCCTACCTGGAGAAGCCCATGAGGACCGAGTTGCTCGGGCGCTGGGTCACATCCCACTGCATACCACCGCTTTGATAGAGAAACAGGGCGTAGGACCGGCTCCCATCCGTGGAAAGGATGGCCTGGTAGGTGTTGGTCTAGGGGTTGTTTGGAGACAAACACAAGGATGCCTGTGAGAGATCCGGGGTCTCCTCCCTGATGTCCCACCACCCATCCCACACCCCCGCCCCGACGCACACATTGCCTTTCCTGGCCTACCCAGAGCAAAGGCGTGACCTTAAACTGCTGGCAAGTTTGGGATCACGTAGGGCAGCTTTCGGCCTGGGTGTCAATGCACCTACCATGGTGGGTTTTCCTTCTTTGTGCCTTCTTTCCAGGGAGGGGCGATAAAGGACTCTGGGTTAGAATCCAGTTAGAAGAGGGTTTGTGTGAGAAAGCTACAGGAACCTGAGAGATTAGCCAAGATGCCAGAGAGCTGGGAGAGGCCTACCGAGCTTCCTCAGGGATATTTAAGGCCATTGTCCCCATGTCCCCTCAGCCTGAATAGTGCGAGGACCACAGCCGGTGAGACTGGAGGTTCTCTGAAGGCAGACGCCAAGCACTGTGCTCGTACAAAGTAGGTAATCAGTGAACTTGTTGAACAAATGAATAAAAGAATGACTTCAGACCAGACACAAGGAGGAACTCTGTGATTGTAAGAGACGCCCTCTGTGAATCCCCAGAGGGAAGACTGAGGAGAATGGTGGCGTGCCCATTTCCATCGGATGGCACTGCAGTTAGGAACCAGAGTTTGGAATGGCTTTGTCATTTGCTAGCTGGGTGACCTCCAGCAAGTTGTTTAACTTCTCTAACCACCGTCTTCCCCACCTCTAAATGTGGTTAGCAATATCAAGTTGAGCCATATAAAGCTGCTAATAGCCAGCCATTTTTGACTTATAAATTTCCGTTTCCTATGTTTTACTCTCCTTATACCCAGTGCTCTGGACTGCTGTGAGGTCATGTACGTAAAGGGCTGAGGCAGGCCTGGTGTGTGGTGAGTGCTCAGCAAACAAGGTCGGGGGTTGGGAGTGGGAGGGTGGGGAAAAGGTTGGGGGTTAGGGGTTAGGGGAGTGGGAGTTGGGGAGGAAAGTGGGGTGGAGATGGGGGTGGCTATCGTCAGCAATCTTTCCTTAAGTCAGAGAGTTTAGCAGAGTGGCCCCGGCCTAGGATTCTAGAATGTCTGACTTCCAGATGGTTCACAGACAGTTGTCTGTTGGTCCACTCACCCCAAAGCTCCTCTGGGCGGGATAGGCGTGGGCACTGACCCATGTGACCTTTAGGGTCCACCTGGCTTTGTAGTCCCAGGTGTTTATGAACTTTTGGATCCAAGACTCCACCTGCTGGACTAGCAGATGGTATTCACCATAGAGCGTCTCATATTCCTAGGAAAGAAGGCAGATAAGGACGAGGAAATGGGAGTCCCAGCTCAACACTTGTGAGGGACCCCCCTTTCTGCACAGTGCTCCTGCTCACTTTAGTCTCACTCGTGTCTCCCATCCTTCCTTCTCCCAGCCCGCATTTCCACAGTTAGCTCCTCTGACCTTACCAATTCACATTCGGGCTGCAGGGAAGCCTGGGATGTGTGGAGGGGAGGGTTGAGGCCTAGAAAACAGAATCTTCTGCAGTTGGACTCATGCATCTCTTAGCACAAGAGACGGCTTGGACTGCATAACACCCTGTGCCCATTTGTATCTCCCCGTGTCGGACTGGAAGCTCCTTGAGGACAGGCACATTTTCTCCATCTTTGAACCCTCTGCAGTGCCTTGCCCATGGCAGGGGCACAATCCGCATTTGCCTGCAGTAGCTTTCATAACAAAGTCCCACTGATTGGAATCATTAACCCAGTGCAGGAACACACGTAGGAGGCTTGCTTGACTCAGGCTTGTTAGGATAGACCCCCTACAAGCTTATTCTAAAATCAAATGCTTGATTGCCAACCCTAATCCCTGTCTTCTCGTGGTTGTGTTGGCGTATTCCTGAGTCTGTGTAATAGTCCTATTCCTCTAATAGCCTGCTTCCTCCCTGCGCTCATATTTAAGCATCAGTTCCTGCCCACAGTGAGCCCGGGCTCTGACAGCAGTAACACTTGCACTGCCCTCCACACAGCCTTCTGTCTCTCCTTGCTGGCTGCTGGGGGATCCTGAATGCCAGGCTTTGAAAGGCTCACCTGGTAAAATATGGATCCCCCGCGGCTGGAGAAATCAGCATCGTCCCAGAATGGAGCCACCAGGGCCACAGGGTCCTGGCCTGTGAAGCCTCCAAGAGGAGGGTTGGGATAGGAGAAAGTCTTGTACTCTGACTCCGGGAAAATGATCTGGCCATTATCTGTGAACTGAACACAAAGGTTCCTCCGGTGAGCATCAGGGAGGGAACGTCCCAGCCTTGGGCCAGCTCCTCAGAAGCGTGACGCCTGAGGGCCTCACTAAGTAGAACTGTAGAAATGTCGACTCTCTCTGGAAGATCATCTCATCTCTCCCTGCCTGCTGGGAGAGCCACCTTTACATAGTTCTCACACAAATACTCTTTACCCTCAGACATTCCTTACCTCCTAAATCCTTCCTCAGGTGGTAGGTTTTCTCTTGCTTCAGTGGCAGATCCTGTCTATAGACCAGCCCGTCACAGAGCAGACACATTTGGGTAAATCCCCTCAGCCCCATCCTGAAGCATGTTGTGTGCCCCATCAGACGGGGCTAAAAGGCTTGATACCCTCACCCCATCGCCGTGTTGTGCTCTCATAGTGTCCTGACTCAGCACCTCTCACTGAGAGCCACAGAGGCCATGACTGCCGTTCCCTCCCCTCCAGGAGACGTGGGCTACTTGGACCAGGCAACCAGGAAATAATTACAGACAATGTCAAGGGCGTCAAATGGTCACATTTCCCAAGTAGAGCTTCTTCCCCATGAAAACAGTGGAGAGTTTCCTGGGCCCCAGGACCTCTTTACTAAGGTAAAGACTCTTTTGTCCATGTGAGTAGGGGGAGGTGGGGGGGTCTTGCCTAGCTCCCTGTCTTCCTCAGCTGGCACCCAATATTAAAGGCTGTGAATGCAAACTGAGCCAGTGGCAGGGACACACTGGTGCCTAACAGGTGTTGTTTCCATTCTCCCTTCCTCCCAGTCAGTCATGGTCATGGTCACAAGGCCATCTCTGAGCCCTAGAGAGAGAAGCGGGGCCCTGGGAACACAGGTCACGGGTTCTGCCCTTTAGGCTGCAGCCAGGGACTCACATAGAGTAAATCGTGGAGAGAGGAGCCGAGAGGGAAGCCAATCTGGGGCTTGAAGAGCGGCGAGGTGAAGTCCAAAGTCCACCTAACGAATTGCTGGTCTCCAACTGTTGACCCATAGGGGAAGAGGGGAACACCTGGGCCGGTACAAAGAAGAGCAGGAAGTTCTCGGGAGCCCTGAGTTCATTAGGGCTCATGGGGATCCCCAGAGAGCCTCCCAAGCTGCTCCCCCCACCCACCATGTCCATCTGTCCACAGCTCCCCAACAGGGAGCCATCAAGGACTCCTCTCTCTCCCGTCTCTACTTGAATTTAACCATTTCCTCATTTTAGCCCTTAACCTGGGACTCTCATCCTTCCTCACTTTGGAGAAAAACAGGTCCTGCTGTCAGAATACCAACAAATCATTCTGCATCTGTTGGAGTAGTCGCAACTCTGTCAAGGGTTAAAAAAACTCCTCCAATGCAGTGACAAGGAGTAATTGAAAGACCATCTCATAGAACGAGACTTGTTTTCTAAGACATTGTTTCTCTAGATAAACTTGAAGATGCCCTAGAATTTTTCCTAGGATCCCCTAGAGGTTCTTGGGCTTTTTTGAGAAACCTTGTCCTAAACATTTCTCAAATGGCCCTCCTCCTTTCCATACCGGCAGCCCTCACCTGCTCTGACTTGGAATACCACAGCAGTCTCTACACTGCCTTCCTGGCCTCCTGCAAACCCCCACTCCGCACCAGCCACTATAGAACCATTCGTAAATGCAAATCCAGCCGTGGTTCCCACTATCTACGGGATTCCCTCATGTGACAACAGCCTCACTCCTCAACACTCTTCACCTTACTTCCAGCAACCCCGAATGCTCTGGGGATCTCCTCTCCATACATCCCTGGGACTACTTTTCACGCCCGTGCCTTTATTCCAGCTGTTCAGGCCCACCTGCCTGCTTGCTTCCCCTCCCCCAGCTCCTTTCCAGGAAGCCTCCTCTTCACTTTGAACCCACTCCCACATCCCCCAGGGGCCTTCCATTGTGTGCGCCTAATACCCTGGGCTTATTCCTCTAATTGTATCTACTGAGGCAGCAGATTTGTCTCTTGCTGAATAGTACCTTGATCACTTCTCTATCTTTAGCTCCTAGCCCAGTGCCATGCACAAAGCCAGCCCTCATCACCCAACTCAGATGCTGTCTCATTGTCCCCTGTAAGGCCCTTCTGACCAGAGTCTGTGAGCAAGGAGGCTGAGACAGCATTCAGTTACATCACCCCTATAAAAGGGATATGGGAGCAGCTGGACTTCCCAAGGCCCAGATGGGGCAGTGGAGACATGCACAGAACTGGTTCCCCTGACTACCCACAAGAGCCCTCATTGCTAGATCCAACCCGGCTGCCACAGCTATAAGCTCCACATCTAGCTCAAGCCTCTCCATCCCAGGGTGGAGAGGCCCCAGCTCTATGGCATCTCTTGCCTTTCTCTGTCTTGAGAGAGACTGGGGCAGCAGTTGAGGTGCCTGTGGAGGTGCTGGGCGTGGAGGTTGTGAGGGTCTTGGGGGTCGTTGAGGGTAGCAACGTTACTGTGCTTCTCTTGCTGTCTGTCCTCAGTGAGGTTGTTGATGAGGATTTTTAGGCTGCTTAATTTTAAAACGGTTTATGATGAAGATTTTTAGGCTGGTTACTTTTAAAACTACAGATGAGAAGCAGGCTCCAAGGAGTGGAATTTGCTTGTCCCTTTGTTGGGAAAGATTTGCATTTCTAAGGAAAACCTCTATCTGTGAAGTTGCCTCCCTCTCTGTGCCAGGAAGAAGGGGGATGGCCTTATCTCTAGAAACTCTTAATGCCAGAGGCAAGAACTTAAGTTGGTTACTGTCTGGCAACCTCATGTAACTGACCACCCCCACCCCCCCAAATCCTCCTTTGCCTTTAGCTGAGGATAATATTCAAGCGGTGACTTCTGCCATTTACTCAATCCGGTTTGATTCTTATCTAAAAGTTGTGGGACCGCCAACACTGATACCATTTTAACTTTTTTACATATTCTTTCCTTTGTCTTGTAAAGAGATAACTCACATACCAATGCCTTAAATTTAGCCTTACTCTCCACCCAACTTTGCAGCAGAAGCGGCAGCAGCAACATGCTGGCAGCAGCTCTGCTTGCCCATGGGTCCTGTCCCCATGCCAGCAGCGGGTGGCAGCAGCTCCCTATGCCAGCAGCATCTCTGGCGGCTCGTGGGCCCTGTCCCCACGCAGCAGCCTGACTGCCCATGGGTCCTGTCCCCATGCCGGCAGCAGCAGAAACTCTGACTGCCCATGGGTCCTGTCCCCATGCCAGCGGGGACAGCAGCAGCGGCTCTGCCTGCCCATGGGTCCTGTCCCCATGCTATTCTATTCTCTAAATAAAAGAGCACTACTGCCAGATCTTAAGAGTCTAAGAAATCTTTCTTTCTACTCCTCGGCTCACCACCCCTCATCAGTTGTGATTGCTCCTGGGCATGCAGGAAGAGAAGACGGCAGTGGGCCTTACAGTCAGAGAGCAGCAGAGTCAGAGTCACAGACTTTAGGGGCTGAAAGAGATAGCTAGAAACCCTCTTGTCTGTCTGCTGGTCACACCCAAACCAATCCCTGCAGATAAGTGGTTGTCTGCTGGGGCAGAGGGGCTGGTAAACCTCCGCTCCGTCCTCTCGGGGACCTGACCTCAACCCTAGCGTGGTATTGCTAACTCACACTGTCTTTGCTCAAGCACTCTTCCAGGCTGGATTGAGCCTATGGGGCCACTGTAACAGACTGAAGCTGGAGTCCCCACCTACCTGATGTCCCAGTCTTCACAGTGGAGCTCGAGGATGATGTGGATGGTGAGAAAGTGCTGGCAACAGACAGAGGAGTGAAATGACCTGTGGATAGGGTGGTGGAGCTCCGGGTGACTGCAGGGCCAGGGGCTGATTGAGAGAATGAAGAATTATTGGCTGAAGTATAGAAAGTCGATATGGTCTGAGCTGTGCTCACATTACCAGAGGAAGGAGAGTCAGAGGAAGCATAGTCTGTGGATGGCCGTAGAGCAGGCAATGGACTCTTAGGATACTTAGATGTTGAGGAAGTATCAGGAGTGGTCATGATCAGAGGGGAGGTTGTAGGTGGAAATGATAAAGTCGGTGTGGATCTTACACTCCTGTGATTACTCGTAGAACTTATGTATGCTGGCCTTGTAGCAGAGTTGGTAGCAGAGGTTACTGTTTGAACAGTTGTAGGATGCTCAGGGGTGGGTGTGCCTAACTTGCCCGCTGAGGAATTTGGGACTTGCGTGGTGTTTGTCAATGAGTCACTTTCAAAACCTACAGGGGGAGTGACCGCTGCAGTTATATTTTCGTGGATGACTGAGCTTGAGGTTGTTGTCAGGACTCCTCCACTTGTGGACAAAATGGTGGAAGGAGAATGAGAGGCTACATCACTTAGGGTGGTAGAACTGACTGTACTTGGCCCTTTAGTTGTCCCCGATGACAAGATTGGCATTGCTGTTTGGGTCCTGTGACTGTCACTGACTGGGTTTGAGATAAATGTTGTGCTGGTGTCTGAAGGAGACAGAGTATGGGCCATGGTTTGTGGAGATGTGTGCACATTTGGTGTGGATGAAAGAGGTAGAGATGTGACTGCTGAGAAGGTGTCAGTCACGGGGGAGACTGAACCAGATCCTCTGGGGGTTCTTGTATTTTGAGTCTGAGCCATCTGGGAAATGACTGACGTTTCCTGAGGAGAGGTGCTGGGAGAAGTTGGAGTTGACTGTCCTGTTGGTCTCCCTGTTGTTGGGACCTCAGAGATGATGATTGAAGTGGTGATGCTGGGGGTTATAGCAGACACCATTCCCATGGTTCTTAGAGTAGTGTCATGACTGGTTGAAATCGAAAACAATTCTATTGTTGACTGAGTCGTTTGGCTTTCCCTGGAGGGAGTTGGTGAGAAACTCTTGATCTTATCGGAGGTGGACATTTCTGGTGAAGCACTTTCTGGAGTGGTTTGGCTATTTGCTGTGGAAGAAGCTATAGCCGTGCCCACCAAGGTGGTATCTGCTACCAAGGTGGTGTCCATCACCAAGGAGGCTGGTGTGATAGTGTGTGATTCTCCGGTGGTTGCTGTGGCTTGAGTCTGGTGGGTTTGGAAAATGGCTGATGTGGTGTCAGGTGAAGAGCTGGTAGCAGGGGATATTGATTGTCCTCTGGGACCTCTTGATGTTGAGACTACAGAGGTGGCCTGAGGAATGACACTTGTTATGGAAAATGATGTACCTCCTGAGGTTTCCAGGGTGGTGTCGGGTCTGGATGGCACTGTCCACAGTTCTGTGGTAGTGGTAGTGGCCTGAGTTGTGCTGCTGTCCCTGGAGGGCGCCTGGGTGAAGACTGTCACTTCACCTGTGGTGGATGTATCCTGAGGAATACTTTCTGAGGGCGAGTGTCCACTTGGTTTGAATGAAGAAGTTGCAGATGTTGTTGTCTTGATGATGTCAGTGATGGAGGAGACTAAACTCATGGTTTGGGCTTCTTGTGTGGTCTGCCTGCCTTGGGTGTGATCTATCTGGGAAACAGCTGAAGATTCTCGAGGAGAGGTGCTAATAGAGAGTGGTGTTGACCGCCTTGTTGGGCTTGCTGTTATGGTTAGTTGAGAAGTGTGTCCGCTTAGCATGGATGAAGGAGATGCGGATGTGACTGTATTGATGGTTTGGGTCACATTGGAGCTTGTGGTACTGACATGAGTTTCACCAGTGGTCCCTGTGTCTTGTGTCCACTGAGTATGGGAAACAACCACTGTTGTTTCCTGAGGAGATGTGCTCTGATAGGGGTGTGTGGATGGCTCTCCCTCTTTACCTGTTGTTGAGACCTTAGAGGTAACCCAAGAAATAGTACCAGCTGCAGAAGTAGATGTGCTTTCTGTGACCAGCACACTGGTATCTATGGTTGGTGCTGATGATGGTCTTTTTTGTGACCGAGTTGTGTGGCTATCACTAGAGGACAAAGAAGCAAATGTTGTTGCTTTACCTGGAGTGATTGTCTGATAAGAAACATCTGTAGAGATTGAGCTACTGGCATGAGGCCATTCCAGGGTCTCTGTGCCTTCACTCTGGTAGGTGTGGAAAACTGTAGATGTTTTTGGAATTGAAGAACTGGTAGAGAGTGGTGCTGACTGTATTTCTGATCCTAATGTTGTAGAAAATTTAGAAGTGAATGGAGAAAAACTTCCAGTTACAGACAGTGATGGCTCCCCTATGCTTCCTAGAGTGGTGTCTGCTGAGGTTGCTGAGGTCAACATTTGGGATGTTGTCAGAGGTGTGTGGCTGACACTGGAAGGGGATGTCTCCTGAGAAATTCTCCCTGAGGGAGTAAATCCACTTGGCGAGGTTGAAAGAGTTGATATGGTTGCTAGTGTGATTCTGCTGGATTCTGATTCTCTGGTGGTCTGTATGCTCTGAGCCTGGTGTTTCTGAGCAGATGCTGATGTTTCCTGAGTAAAGGTGCTGGAAGAGGTTACTGTTGATTGTGACTCTAGTCCAGTTGTCCTTGAGTCAGTGGCGGTGCCTGGAGTGAAACCTCGAGTTGCAGTTAGTTGTATGTCCCTTGTGGTTCCTACAGTGGTGTCACCTGAAATGGGTGTTGTGAGTGCCCTTGATGTCACGGGAGGTGATTTGCTTACACTAGAAGGGGATGAAGCTTTCTCTGTGGAGGTTGGTTCGGTCAACAATTCTGATGTTGTGAGAGATATAATGTTGATACTGCGAGTGGATGAAGTTTCAAAGACAGGGGATGTCTCCACAGAATCGCCCTCTGTTGGAGTGTGTCTGCTTGGGGAAGATGAGGCAGTTGATGTGCTCACTTCTGTGATGGTGCTGGTTTCAGATTCTGTGGTGGTCTGCATGCTCTGAGTCTGGTGTTTCTGAGAAGACGCTGATGTTTTCTGAGTCAAGGTGCTAGAATAGGATAGTGTTGATTGTGCCTCTAGACTGGCTGTCTTTGACTCTGTGCCCGGAGAAAAACTTCTAGTTACAGTTACTGGTGGAGCTTTTGTGGTTCCTACGGGGTTGTCTGCTGAAATGGGAGTTGTGAGAACCATTGATGTCATCGGCGGTGCGGTACTTACTCCAGAAGAGGGTAAAGTTTCCTCTGTTGTGGTTGGTTTCAACAAAATTTCTGACGGTGTGGCAATTGTGTGGCTGACACAAGAAGGGGATGGAGTATTGGCTTCTCCAGAGTTGGATGTCTCTTGAGAATCATTCTCTGTAGGACTGTCTTTGCTTGGACAGGATGAGGGAGTTGATCTGCTGCCTACAGTGCTGGTGCGGGTTCGAGATCCTGTGGTGGCCTGCATAATCTGAGTCAGGTGACTCTGGTGAGAGGTTGGTGTTTCCTGAGGGGAGGTGCTGGAAGAGGGTGCTGTGGATGATTCCTCTGGTCCAGTTGTCACTGAGCTTGCTATGTTGTATGAAGTAAACCACGTAGTCCCGGACAGTGGTGTGTCCCCGGTGGTTCCCACAGAGGTGTCTGCTGAAATGGGTGGTGTGAGCAGCTTTGATGTCATTGGAGTTGCACTGCTTACACCAGAAGGGGATGATGTTTCATCTGTCGAGGTTGGTACTGTCGACAGTTCTGATGTGGCCAGAGGTGTGCTGCCGCCACTGGAAGGGAATGGAGTGCTTGTTTCCCCGGAAGGGGACGTCTCCTGAGAAGGGCCTTCTGTAGGACTGTGTCTGCTTGGAGAGGGTGAGGGAGTCGACGTGCTCACTGCTGCGATGGTGGAGGTGTGAGATTCTCCTGTGGTCTGTGGGCTGTGAGTCTGTTGGTTCGGAGAAGACCCTGGGGTTCCCCGAGGAGAGGTGCTGGAAGAGGGCGCTGTGGACTGTCTGTCTGTTCCGGTCTTTGCGGAGGCTGCTGAGATGAGTGGAGTGAAACTGCCAGTTCCAGGTACGGTTGGGCCCCCTGTGGTTCCTGCGGGGGTGTCTGCAGAACTTGTTGTTGTGAGCATCTGTGATGTCATTGGAGGTGTGTTGCTTACAGTGGAAGGAGATGAAGTTTGCTTTGTTGAGATGGATGCTGTCAAAGTTTCTGATGGTGTGGAATTTCCATCCGTGAGAGTGGAAGGTGATGGAGTCTTTGTTTTCCCAGGGGGGCTGTCTCCCGAGAAGGGCCCTCTGTAGGACTGTGTCCCCTTGGAGAGGATGAGGGAGTTGACGTGCTCACTGCTGCGATGGTGGAGGTGTGAGATTCTGTGGTGACCTGCGGGCTCTGAGTCTGTTGGTTCGGAGAAGACCCTGGGGTTCCCCGAGGAGAGGTGCTGGAAGAGGGCGCTGTGGACTGTCTGTCTGTTCCGGTCTTTGCGGAGGCTGCTGAGATGAGTGGAGAACTTGTTGCTACAGGAAGCGTTGTGTGCTGTGTGTTTTGTGAAGTGGCGTCTGTGGAGGTAGGGTCTGTCGATGTTCCTGACGTTGCCTGCGGTGTGTGGCTGACACTAGAAGGGGATGAGGCGTTGGACTCACCTGCAGTGGATGTCCCCCGGGAAACGCCCTCTGTAGGAGTGTGTCCCCTTGGGGAGGATGAGGGTGTTGCTGTGCTCACTGCTGTGATGGTGCTGGTGTGAGATTCTCCTGTGGTCTGCGTGCTCCGAGTCTGGTGGTTCTGAGAAGACGCTGAGGCTTCCTGAGAGAAGGTGCTGGAAGTGGGGAGTGCTGACTGTGCTTCTGGTCCAGTTGGCACTGTGCTTGCGGTGGTGCCTAGAGAGGAACTGCCAGTTCCAGGCAGGGATGGGCCCCCTGTGGTTCCTGGGAAACCTGGTGTCGTGAGCACCTGTGGTGTCATTGGAGGTGTGTTGCTTACAGTGGAAGGAGATGAAGTTTGCTTTGTTGAGATGGATGCTGTCAAAGTTTCTGATGGCGTGGAATTTCCGTCGGTGAGAGCGGAAGGCGACGGAGTCTTTGTCTTCCCAGAGGTGGCGGTCTCCCGAGAAACGCCCTCTGTGAGAGTGTGTCCGTTTGGGGACGAAGACAGACTTGATGTGCCCTCTGTTGTGATGGTGGTGGTTTGAGACTCCCTGGTGGCCTGCGTGCTCTGAGTCAGGTGATTCTGAGGAGACGCTGGTGTTTCCTGAGGGGAGGTGCTGGAAGAGGGCGCTGTGGATGGTGCCTCTGGTCCAGTTGTCACTGAGCTTGCTGTGTTGTCTGAAGTAAACCGCGTAGTCCCGGACAGTGGTGTGTCCCCGGTGGTTCCCACAGAGGTGTCTGCTGAAATGGGTGATGTGAGCAGCTTTGATGTCGTTGGAGGTGCACTGCTTACACCAGAAGGGGATGATGTTTCATGTGTCGAGTTTGGCGCTGTCGACAGTTCTGATGCTGCCAGAGGTGTGATGCTGCCGCTGGAAGGGGATGGAGTGCTCGGTTCCACGGAAGGGGATGTCTCCTGAGAAGGGCCTTCTGTAGGAGTGTGTCTGCTTGGAACGGGTGAGGGAGTCGACGTGCTCACTGCTGTAGTGGTGGAGATGTGAGATTCTCCTGTGGTCTGCGCGCTCCGAGTCTGGTGGTTCGGGGAAGCCGCTGATGCTTCCTCAGTGAAGGTGCTGGTAGTGAGAAGTGCTGACTGTGCTTCTGATCCAGTTGTCGCTGCGCTTACAGAGGTACCTGGAGTGAAACTGCCAGTTCCAGGTACGGTTGGGCCCCCTGTGGTTCCTGCGGGGGTGTCTGCAGAACTTGTTGTTGTGAGCATCTGTGATGTCATTGGAAGGTGTGTTGCTTACAGTAGAAAGGAGATGAAGTTTGCTTTGTTGAGATGGATGCTGTCCAAAGTTTCTGATGGTGTGGAATTTCCCATCCCGTGAGAGTGGAAGGTGACGGAGTCTTTGTCTTCCCAGAGGTGGCGGTCTCCCGAGAAACGCCCTCTGTGAGAGTGTGTCCGCTTGGGGACAAAGAGAGAGTTGATGTGCCCTCTGCTGTGATGGCGCTGGTTTGAGATTCTGTGGTGACCTCCATGCTCTGAGTCTGTTGGTTCGGAGAAGACCCTGGGGTTCCCCGAGGAGAGGTGCTGGAAGAGGGCGCTGTGGACTGTCTGTCTGTTCCGGTCTTTGCGGAGGCTGCTGAGATGAGTGGAGAACTTGTTGCTACAGGAAGCGTTGTGTGCTGTGTGTTTTGTGAAGTGGCGTCTGTGGAGGTAGGGTCTGTCGATGTTCCTGACGTTGCCTGCGGTGTGTGGCTGACACTAGAAGGGGATGAGGCGTTGGACTCACCTGCAGTGGATGTCCCCCGGGAAACGCCCTCTGTAGGAGTGTGTCCCCTTGGGGAGGATGAGGGTGTTGCTGTGCTCACTGCTGTGATGGTGCTGGTGTGAGATTCTCCTGTGGTCTGCGTGCTCCGAGTCTGGTGGTTCTGAGAAGACGCTGAGGCTTCCTGAGAGAAGGTGCTGGAAGTGGGGAGTGCTGACTGTGCTTCTGGTCCAGTTGGCACTGTGCTTGCGAATGGTGCCTAGAGAGGAACTGCCAGTTCCAGGCAGGGATGGGCCCCCTGTGGTTCCTGGGAAACCTGGTGTCGTGAGCACCTGTGGCGTCATTGGAGGTGTGTTGCTTACAGTGGAAGGAGATGAAGTTTGCTTTGTTGAGATGGATGCTGTCAAAGTTTCTGATGGCGTGGAATTTCCGTCGGTGAGAGCGGAAGGCGACGGAGTCTTTGTCTTCCCAGAGGTGGCGGTCTCCCGAGAAACGCCCTCTGTGAGAGTGTGTCCGTTTGGGGACGAAGACAGACTTGATGTGCCCTCTGTTGTGATGGTGGTGGTTTGAGACTCCCTGGTGGCCTGCGTGCTCTGAGTCAGGTGATTCTGAGGAGACGCTGGTGTTTCCTGAGGGGAGGTGCTGGAAGAGGGCGCTGTGGATGGTGCCTCTGGTCCAGTTGTCACTGAGCTTGCTGTGTTGTCTGAAGTAAACCGCGTAGTCCCGGACAGTGGTGTGTCCCCGGTGGTTCCCACAGAGGTGTCTGCTGAAATGGGTGATGTGAGCAGCTTTGATGTCGTTGGAGGTGCACTGCTTACACCAGAAGGGGATGATGTTTCATGTGTCGAGTTTGGCGCTGTCGACAGTTCTGATGCTGCCAGAGGTGTGATGCTGCCGCTGGAAGGGGATGGAGTGCTCGGTTCCACGGAAGGGGATGTCTCCTGAGAAGGGCCTTCTGTAGGAGTGTGTCTGCTTGGAACGGGTGAGGGAGTCGACGTGCTCACTGCTGTAGTGGTGGAGATGTGAGATTCTCCTGTGGTCTGCGCGCTCCGAGTCTGGTGGTTCGGGGAAGCCGCTGATGCTTCCTCAGTGAAGGTGCTGGTAGTGAGAAGTGCTGACTGTGCTTCTGATCCAGTTGTCGCTGCGCTTACAGAGGTACCTGGAGTGAAACTGCCAGTTCCAGGTACGGTTGGGCCCCCTGTGGTTCCTGCGGGGGTGTCTGCAGAACTTGTTGTTGTGAGCATCTGTGATGTCATTGGAGGTGTGTTGCTTACAGTGGAAGGAGATGAAGTTTGCTTTGTTGAGATGGATGCTGTCAAAGTTTCTGATGGTGTGGAATTTCCATCCGTGAGAGTGGAAGGTGATGGAGTCTTTGTCTTCCCAGGGGTGGCTGTCTCCCGAGAAACGCCCTCTGTGAGAGTGTGTCCGCTTGGGGACAAAGAGAGAGTTGATGTGCCCTCTGCTGTGATGGCGCTGGTTTGAGATTCTGTGGTGACCTCCATGCTCTGAGTCTGTTGGTTCGGAGAAGACCCTGGGGTTCCCCGAGGAGAGGTGCTGGAAGAGGGCGCTGTGGACTGTCTGTCTGTTCCGGTCTTTGCGGAGGCTGCTGAGATGAGTGGAGAACTTGTTGCTACAGGAAGCGTTGTGTGCTGTGTGTTTTGTGAAGTGGCGTCTGTGGAGGTAGGGTCTGTCGATGTTCCTGACGTTGCCTGCGGTGTGTGGCTGACACTAGAAGGGGATGAGGCGTTGGACTCACCTGCAGTGGATGTCCCCCGGGAAACGCCCTCTGTAGGAGTGTGTCCCCTTGGGGAGGATGAGGGTGTTGCTGTGCTCACTGCTGTGATGGTGCTGGTGTGAGATTCTCCTGTGGTCTGCGTGCTCCGAGTCTGGTGGTTCTGAGAAGACGCTGAGGCTTCCTGAGAGAAGGTGCTGGAAGTGGGGAGTGCTGACTGTGCTTCTGGTCCAGTTGGCACTGTGCTTGCGGTGGTGCCTAGAGAGGAACTGCCAGTTCCAGGCAGGGATGGGCCCCCTGTGGTTCCTGGGAAACCTGGTGTCGTGAGCACCTGTGGCGTCATTGGAGGTGTGTTGCTTACAGTGGAAGGAGATGAAGTTTGCTTTGTTGAGATGGATGCTGTCAAAGTTTCTGATGGCGTGGAATTTCCGTCGGTGAGAGCGGAAGGCGACGGAGTCTTTGTCTTCCCAGAGGTGGCGGTCTCCCGAGAAACGCCCTCTGTGAGAGTGTGTCCGTTTGGGGACGAAGACAGACTTGATGTGCCCTCTGTTGTGATGGTGGTGGTTTGAGACTCCCTGGTGGCCTGCGTGCTCTGAGTCAGGTGATTCTGAGGAGACGCTGGTGTTTCCTGAGGGGAGGTGCTGGAAGAGGGCGCTGTGGATGGTGCCTCTGGTCCAGTTGTCACTGAGCTTGCTGTGTTGTCTGAAGTAAACCGCGTAGTCCCGGACAGTGGTGTGTCCCCGGTGGTTCCCACAGAGGTGTCTGCTGAAATGGGTGATGTGAGCAGCTTTGATGTCGTTGGAGGTGCACTGCTTACACCAGAAGGGGATGATGTTTCATGTGTCGAGTTTGGCGCTGTCGACAGTTCTGACGATGCTGCCAGAGGTGTGATGCTGCCGCTGGAAGGGGATGGAGTGCTCGGTTCCACGGAAGGGGATGTCTCCTGAGAAGGGCCTTCTGTAGGAGTGTGTCTGCTTGGAACGGGTGAGGGAGTCGACGTGCTGCCTGCTGTAGTGGTGGAGATGTGAGATTCTCCTGTGGTCTGCGCGCTCCGAGTCTGGTGGTTCGGGGAAGCCGCTGATGCTTCCTCAGTGAAGGTGCTGGTAGTGAGAAGTGCTGACTGTGCTTCTGATCCAGTTGTCGCTGCGCTTACAGAGGTACCTGGAGTGAAACTGCCAGTTCCAGGTACGGTTGGGCCCCCTGTGGTTCCTGCGGGGGTGTCTGCAGAACTTGTTGTTGTGAGCATCTGTGATGTCATTGGAGGTGTGTTGCTTACAGTGGAAGGAGATGAAGTTTGCTTTGTTGAGATGGATGCTGTCAAAGTTTCTGATGGTGTGGAATTTCCATCCGTGAGAGTGGAAGGTGATGGAGTCTTTGTCTTCCCAGGGGTGGCTGTCTCCCGAGAAACGCCCTCTGTGAGAGTGTGTCCGCTTGGGGACAAAGAGAGAGTTGATGTGCCCTCTGCTGTGATGGCGCTGGTTTGAGATTCTGTGGTGACCTCCATGCTCTGAGTCTGTTGGTTCGGAGAAGACCCTGGGGTTCCCCGAGGAGAGGTGCTGGAAGAGGGCGCTGTGGACTGTCTGTCTGTTCCGGTCTTTGCGGAGGCTGCTGAGATGAGTGGAGAACTTGTTGCTACAGGAAGCGTTGTGTGCTGTGTGTTTTGTGAAGTGGCGTCTGTGGAGGTAGGGTCTGTCGATGTTCCTGACGTTGCCTGCGGTGTGTGGCTGACACTAGAAGGGGATGAGGCGTTGGACTCACCTGCAGTGGATGTCCCCCGGGAAACGCCCTCTGTAGGAGTGTGTCCCCTTGGGGAGGATGAGGGTGTTGCTGTGCTCACTGCTGTGATGGTGCTGGTGTGAGATTCTCCTGTGGTCTGCGTGCTCCGAGTCTGGTGGTTCTGAGAAGACGCTGAGGCTTCCTGAGAGAAGGTGCTGGAAGTGGGGAGTGCTGACTGTGCTTCTGGTCCAGTTGGCACTGTGCTTGCGGTGGTGCCTAGAGAGGAACTGCCAGTTCCAGGCAGGGATGGGCCCCCTGTGGTTCCTGGGAAACCTGGTGTCGTGAGCACCTGTGGCGTCATTGGAGGTGTGTTGCTTACAGTGGAAGGAGATGAAGTTTGCTTTGTTGAGATGGATGCTGTCAAAGTTTCTGATGGCGTGGAATTTCCGTCGGTGAGAGCGGAAGGCGACGGAGTCTTTGTCTTCCCAGAGGTGGCGGTCTCCCGAGAAACGCCCTCTGTGAGAGTGTGTCCGTTTGGGGACGAAGACAGACTTGATGTGCCCTCTGTTGTGATGGTGGTGGTTTGAGACTCCCTGGTGGCCTGCGTGCTCTGAGTCAGGTGATTCTGAGGAGACGCTGGTGTTTCCTGAGGGGAGGTGCTGGAAGAGGGCGCTGTGGATGGTGCCTCTGGTCCAGTTGTCACTGAGCTTGCTGTGTTGTCTGAAGTAAACCGCGTAGTCCCGGACAGTGGTGTGTCCCCGGTGGTTCCCACAGAGGTGTCTGCTGAAATGGGTGATGTGAGCAGCTTTGATGTCGTTGGAGGTGCACTGCTTACACCAGAAGGGGATGATGTTTCATGTGTCGAGTTTGGCGCTGTCGACAGTTCTGATGCTGCCAGAGGTGTGATGCTGCCGCTGGAAGGGGATGGAGTGCTCGGTTCCACGGAAGGGGATGTCTCCTGAGAAGGGCCTTCTGTAGGAGTGTGTCTGCTTGGAACGGGTGAGGGAGTCGACGTGCTCACTGCTGTAGTGGTGGAGATGTGAGATTCTCCTGTGGTCTGCGCGCTCCGAGTCTGGTGGTTCGGGGAAGCCGCTGATGCTTCCTCAGTGAAGGTGCTGGTAGTGAGAAGTGCTGACTGTGCTTCTGATCCAGTTGTCGCTGCGCTTACAGAGGTACCTGGAGTGAAACTGCCAGTTCCAGGTACGGTTGGGCCCCCTGTGGTTCCTGCGGGGGTGTCTGCAGAACTTGTTGTTGTGAGCATCTGTGATGTCATTGGAGGTGTGTTGCTTACAGTGGAAGGAGATGAAGTTTGCTTTGTTGAGATGGATGCTGTCAAAGTTTCTGATGGTGTGGAATTTCCATCCGTGAGAGTGGAAGGTGATGGAGTCTTTGTCTTCCCAGGGGTGGCTGTCTCCCGAGAAACGCCCTCTGTGAGAGTGTGTCCGCTTGGGGACAAAGAGAGAGTTGATGTGCCCTCTGCTGTGATGGCGCTGGTTTGAGATTCTGTGGTGACCTCCATGCTCTGAGTCTGTTGGTTCGGAGAAGACCCTGAGGTCCCTTGAGGAGAGGTTCTGGAAGATGTCTTCTGTGTAGTTGTCGTTGAGCTTGCTGTGGTGACTGGAGTAGAAGTTACGATGCCTGTTGAGGAAAATCCTGTCATCATTTCTGATGTTTTTCAAGGTGTTGTCTGATACTCTTAGGGGATTTCTCCTTGAACACACTACTGGTCATTGCATGTCTATTTGTGGAGAATGTAGCAAGAATTGTCTTCCCTGTGCTGACAATCTCTTAAGTATTAGATGCAAGGACTCATGAGACATCAGCAGTTACCTCTGTGACAGTGCAGAGTTAACTCCTCTGGTATTTTGCACATTTACCACTGAAACACAGTGCTTCAGAATGACTGGCTTTCAGGATTTATTTACTTAATCATGGCTAAATTTTCCACCAACACAAGTGGCATCTAGTCATAAATAATACTGCAATGTATTTTTTTGTGCTAAGATTTTGTCCTCATTACCAATTATTTTGGAAAGTTAGTCCTGGACATCAGTCAAGTATGCTTCCTACTCTTCCCACATCCGGCCCAAAAGCCCTGCTCCACGTGCTTCACTCTCAGAACAGTGTTGTAATTAAAATACACGCACAGTTCATGCAGTCAAAACATTTCAGATTGTTGCATGTCCTATACACACTTTTCTCAAGCACTTCAAAGAGGATGAGTAGCCTTCTCTGTTTATCTTAGCCTCTCTTTCTTCTCCTTAATCCAGTCCATATCTCTATCAGTTTTTCTTCTCAATTTATCTCCTAATCCCATTCCAAAAATCTTTCTATTTTCACCCCTAGTGATGTTTTGTGATCTTCTTTTCCTGCCTCCTTTCTCTCTATTACTCCATCTGAAAAACCCAAGAACATTGCCAGCCTATCAGGACCTTCTTTCTAGAGCAAGGGGAGGGAAAATGTTGTGAACTTGTGTATTTGAATGCTCAACGCGCCTAAATACATGTATTGTTGACAGTACATGTCAGCAAGTTGCACCGTCTTTAACAACCTTGTTTATTCAGTATAAAGCATTTGGGAGTGCACCCAACAATAGAAAAGAATTTATTAGGGCTCAAGTTTCAAGTGATTCCTTGTTCTCTTGATATCATGGGGTTCTTTTTTGGGGGGAGGAGGGTATCCTCTGTATATTCACATATATAGTTATTTTTATTCATTTCACTTTCCCCAAAGACCTTCCTTGTGGGAGTTCCCTCCACTTACAACCCAGAACCTTCCCTTCCTTTGTCACTTTTTCTTTTTAATTGGGAGTAGAGTGAATTCTGCTTGTTTTTCAACATCATGTGGCATACTGAGCTCGGATAAGCTCCTTTTTACAAACCTCAGCAAGCTGCTTCTCAAGGCACCAGCCACCTTACAAATTGCCATCAGGGCCACAGATAGGTGAGGTACAGAGCCCATAGGACCTGGAGGCCAAGCTACTTTTGGGATCTTCAAAACCATTTTCATGTTAATTTCTTTTACTATCAGAAGAAAAAATCATGTAATAGTAATGAACATGTAATAATGAATCCAGCCTTGATTGCATTACTCCTGAGGCCAACACAGTTGTAAAATAGAGTTTTTCACTTTTTTTTTAACAGAGAAAAAGGTCCAGGAAGGAAAAAGTGCCGAGAGCGTATGATAATCATCCTGTGACCCTTTTTCCAGACGGTCTCAACAAAAGTCTCAATCCTTTGATAAAGAGACAGGCATAGTAGGAGAAGTTCATCGGTGATAACCTAATTTCATTTTATATTTTACGTTAGTTCTTTATATTTTCTATGAGGTACTTTGTGCTGATTTTTTACCAAAAAATAACCTATCTTTAGCTTCCAAGAAAAAAGTTTCTTAAAAAACCACAGAGCTAACATGTTTTTGACTCAATCCTTATGTGGCACTAAATTTTTTTCACATACAATTATTGAGATGCAACAACGAACCCAGTTTTAACAAATTTGCAATATTTGGTTCTTTATTGAAAACTCTTTTCCATTTATCAGGAGATGTTGTTCTCTTAAATAATGTGAACATCAAGGCTAAGACACTGCTCCTTCTTTGAAGAGAGCTCTTTTCTCCAAGGTGACAATAGTCAGTTTCAAAATACCTAATCAGAAGAAGGAGATTTTTCACGATTAACCAAATTCAAAACACTCAGAGCATTAATATTTAGAAGACAGTGCTTCGATTGGTGGTACAGGGTTCTGACGTACACATTCAGGGGCTCAAAAGTAAATTTGTCAACAACATGCACTAATTATTTTTTTTAATCCTATGATGTGAATGTCCTTTTCAAACGGAAAAGGCATCATCAATATTTTTTCAAGGAATGAAATTTTAATAGATTTGATTTGATTTGAAGTGGCCAGTCTTTCTTGCTAAAGTTGCTAAATACTCCTTCCCTTAAGACAGCCCTGGGGCGCGCCCGGTGGCACAGCAGTTAAGTTTGCACACTCCGCTTCTCCGTGGCCAGGGGTTCGCCGGTTCGGATCCCAGGTGCTGACATGGCACCGCCTGGCCAAAGCCATGCTGTGGTAGGCGTCCTACGTATAAAGCAGAGGAAGATGGGCATGGATGTTAGCTCAGGGCCAGTCTTCCTCAGCAAAAAAAAAAAGAAGAGGTTTGGCAGCAGTTAGCTCAGGGCTAATCTTCCTCAAAAAAAAGACAGCCCTAGGGCTGGCCCCGTGGCCGAGTGGTTAAGTCTGTGCGCTCCGCTGCAGGCGGCCCAGTGTTTCGTTGGTTCGAATCCTGGGCACGGACATGGCACTGCTCATCAAACCACGCTGAGGCAGCGTCCCACATGCTACAACTAAAAAAGGACCCACAACGAAGAATATACAACTATGTACTGGGGGGCTTTGGGGAGAAAAAGGAAAAAATAAAATCTTAAAAAAAAAAAAAAAAAAGACAGCCCTGAGAGGTACAAAAGAGATGAAGACAAATTCCATCACTTGGGAGAATAAATAATACCTGTATAGAGGGAAAATATTCAGTCCCACAATGTGGTGCCCATCCCTGGGTAGCCAAGTAGCACAGGGGCTGAATGAGCCCTGAGGTTAGGTCTGGTCAATAAAAGGTGCTCCAGGTCAGAAGTTTAGACATGCCTGGAGGGAAGCTTAAAGAAAAAAATTCTACTATAAAGAATAAAGGGTGGGGGTGCAGGAGCCCTCAGAGGGAGGCATCTGATGAGGGCTGCTTCAATTGTTAAAAAAAAATCTCAGGCAGGAGCTTTTTTGCCAACCATGGGCGAGTGGTTAAGTTCGGGCTCCGCTGCAGGCATCCCAGTGTTTCGTTGGTTCGAATCCTGGACGTGGACATGGCACTGCTTGTCAAGCCACGCTGAGGCAGCGTCCCACATGCCACAAGTAGAAGGACCCACAACGAAGAATATACAACTATGTACTGGGGGGCTTTGAGGAGAAAAAGGAAAAAAATAAAATCTTTAAAAAAAAAAAAATCTCAGGAATATAAGAAGTCACAGTTGCCTTCCTTGTGAGGAAGAAGGCAAGGTTAGATTAGAATGGTGAGGAGACAGACTGTTGTAAACTCCATGATGGCAGGGAGTGTTAACTCTTTCAATTGAATTATGGCCTTTTAAAAATGCAAATTAAGTTTCTACTTTGGTTTTTCATTGTTAACATTTGTCCCAATCTCGTGGAGGTCTAAGTGAGTGCATATACTCTAATTCTAGTTACTTCATAACATGATGTTCATTTAATTGATCATGCCTTTTTTTTTCCCCTCAATTTATTTGCCAGGCAGAATATTTAACTACCAACTTGTTTTGTTTAAAATATTTGACTGCACCCACACTAGCTACAGACAAAGGCTCCGTCGGCCAGTAGAGCGTACCGTCCTCCTGAACTTTCTCTTCAGGGTCCTCCAGGGTTCCAAACCAAGAAACCAAGTCTTTGGTTTTCTTTAGGAACTTACTCTTTTGGGTTTTCATTAGTTCCCTAGCTGTCCTCAAACTTTTTTTTAACCTTAGTGCTCACCACTAGTTGGAGGGATGAAATTCACGGGGACCAACTCCTAGAGAAGAATTTATTTGAATGTATTTCCTGGGGTTAACTAAAATTTCACCACATTCTCTTCTTAAGAAAGCAATTTAGACTTTTAAGTTAGTGAGAATGACTATGAATCAGGTCTAATTTACTTGAAAAAGAAGTGACTCACTTGCCAGCTTTTGTACTTTATTAATGGTAACTAATTACAGGTGACACGTTTCTAAGCTGGTGTGGACAATGCATGGCCTGAGCTGCAGAGCTGTGCTAGGAGAGCTCTGGATCCTTACTTAACCCCAAATGACTCAACTTTGAAGGGAGACGTCTTTTATTCGGAATTATGAGTAGATTTGTTTACAACACTCCAAATTCTCTGCCTGCCCTCTCCTCAATAAAGTTCCAAAACTGACTTTCTCCAGATGAGGTTTAGATTGGAAGACATTCAGTATGCAATTATTATTAACCTTATTTCATTTTTCTAAGAACATAAATAAGAGCATTGCTCTATCATCTGACTTTGAGTCACCAGATGGAAGCTGTTTACGTAACAAATTTACTAAACTTATTATAGATTCTTGGCAATTAATGTCTTTTCAGAGCCTGCCACACCTCTGTTAACGTCAATATCAGCAGCAAAAGTTTTATGATAGCACAGTCCAATTTTTTTAAGTAAAGATTTTTGTTTGTTTGTTTATAAAAGTAGTACAGCTCCATTTCCAGCAATACAGCAGAAGAGATAAGCCTTTAACCACAAAACCTGCAAACGCCAGATAATGTATTCTGCGCATGCAGAACCAAGATCAGAAGAAAGGGAAATACTCAGGAGTGAAGGAGTTAAAAACTAAGAGGATGTCAGTGCTCTCGCGAGATTTGCAGATTTCTGAGATCTAGAGTTTTGGATTTTAAGGGTTGCATGGGAAAAGGAGATATGGTCTTAGATCAGACACTGTAAATTGAATATCTTCTGCATAAAAGTGAAACTGTCAGTGAAAAGGTGGAATAGAAAAATCAAAAAGAACAAAGAAAAAGAAAGCTGAATGAAGGATACAATTAAGGAAAGAACAGAACTTAATGATATAGAAACAATTGAAAATA